TTGAAGTGTAGGTATTTAACTCGCCGAAAGGGCTAAGTTTCCGTACTGCTTTAGCTCATATATCTACTGTGACCTGATGACGGGCGGCGTGATGTACTCCTCGCCCATGGTGACGGTGATGTAGTCTGTGAGCGCGCGGTAGATGCGGTCGCCGCGCAAGCATCAGGCCTCGAAGGCCGCAGGGGGTCGCGGCAGGCCTGTTGGGGCACCGACCTGATGACGGGCGGCNAAATGTATGACGGATTGTACAGCGCCCCTAGCGGGAAACGTTCAAAAACTAAAATTTTTCATACATCTTTTAAACGCGCTCACTAGTGAGCTCGTTTGATGTAAACTCACACTGGTCCACTGGTGCGATTGTGGTCAAATACCTGCCTTGTTATGCTTAAAAAATATTTCAACCCCCTAATTTAAAAATGCAATGACAAAATCGAACTGTTGCGAGAGGCGGGTTTATATATTCGTCTGCGATGGATTCGGGACGGGTGTAGCTTACGATTGGGTCGGGGAACCTTTTTATGCTTCGGATTCGAAGTTTCTTTTAATTTTTCCTTTCTTTCTTTTAAAAGGTGATAATGGACTGAATACACATTAAGAGATGGAGAGTAAAATAAATAGATAAACAGTACATAATGTACTGAACCAATTAATTGTGATATCTAAATTATCTAACACATGTCCAAGTTACCTCTTGCCAGACGTCGAGGCCTCTGGCAATGTTGTCGGGAAGAGTTGAAAATATTTCGAAGTCTAAACTCAGCTTCATGATATCTTGCCATCCCTGAAAATCATAACTAGTTTATTTATCACCAAAAATATAAAATGTATCAATACTTTTCAATCGAGCCCAGAATGCATGTATAACAAAGAAAGGCAATAACAATGAACACGAAAAACGTATTGTTGGCATCTCAAGCACTCTCAAGCGAGATGTGAATGACGATTACGTCACATGGAACTAATTAAATAGTCATGATAAACTGAAGAACTTTTTGAACTCATCTATCGCCAACGTCCATACCACGTTGAAAACACCGGTTCTCGTCCGATCACCGAAGTTAAGCAACGTCGGGCGCGGTCAGTACTTGGATGGGTGACCGCCTGGGAACACCGCGTGATGTTGGCTTTTTGCTTATGTCAATTTTGTACCTTAACATATTTTATTTTGTTGCCTACTGTCAATTATAATCAATTATTCAATTGAACTAGCCAAACTCATTGCTTTTGGACCTTAAAGCAACGAAATAAGGTTCAAAATAAACTATACTCTAACCTGAGCTGGTATCCAAGAAGCCGGGCAAGGCGTGGGCGACTTCTCAAGAGAAACGTTCCCCTTGATGAAGAAGTCTAGTTGCATCTGGCTCACGTTGCCCTCGCTTTGTTCCAGCTTTATGTCCATTTGGAACGAGAACAGAAGCTTGTGCCGTTCGAATATACCTGTAGGTATAACAATAGTAACATTAGGGCTAAGTTGCACCATCTAACTTTGACCGTAACTATAAGGATAACCAGTGTTTTTTGTACGGAGTTTGACAGATTTTTGACGTTTCGCGTTTGTCAAAGTTAAAGTAAGATGGTGCAACCGAGCCTTAGCGATACAAATGCTTTTTATGCGAATATGAGTTGGGATTTCAAGTACCAGTTGTTTTGGTATTTTTTGTATCGGTTACAAAAAGCCTTAATTACTTTTATTGTTTTTGGATCTTAAGACAAGGCAATATGGTTCATATTAGTGAACAATATTGACTATTATAGATTCACTACGGATTCTATTGTGCTTGTTAAATGCAGTTATTTGTTCGAATTTAAACAGAAGCATTTATATCAATTTTAATATATTTTACCTGTGCAACCATAATCATACACGTTTTTGGTCAACATATCGATGATATTCCTTAGACGTCTGGCCAGGATTACATTTGGCATTGCTTTACGTAGTGAAAACGAAAACACCTGTAAAGAATAAATAAATACATTTTATTACGTGTTAGGTGAATGTGTGTTAAACGCATGACATAAGTCAAAGTCAAGTCTAACTTAATTTTATTATTAACCTATTCTTTGTATAGCACACACTTCTGTAGGAGGAATCCGCACCCCACCTATCGCAACTTTTGCACCTATTGTATTTTTGGTACGAATATTTCGCTCAGTCATTCGCCAACGTCCATACCACGTTGAAAACACCGGTTCTCGTCCGATCACCGAAGTTAAGCAACGTCGGGCGCGGTCAGTACTTGGATGGGTGACCGCCTGGGAACACCGCGTGATGTTGGCTTTTTACATTTTTTTAGCCCCGTATTTATGTTAAAAAACAATGTTTTGTAAAATTAAATTTTACAACAAATACACTTACATCAAGATACGAAGATAATGAGTACTGGTACATGGAATTCACGCCTGCCATGTCTGATAGCACGAAGAATAGGATGGAGCCCCGTTTAGCCACCGGTCGGTAGCCATCACGGAACTTTTCGATGTCCTTTGTGGTTGCCTCTGCCAGTGCTAGTTTTTCCATGACCTAAAAACAGAGAAAAGACATTTTTTTAATAAAATATACCTTTTATCTTACGGAAGGGTAAACACAAAGAAAGGTGTAGTAAGCGCCACCTAGAGTAATTTCATAGAAACAAACATAACCTTGTTGTGAAAGGTTCTAGTTTGAGGAGGTTAACCGCTAGGTGGCGTTTTATGGGAGGTAAATTCATTTTAGTTGCATGAACTCATAAAAATCCCAATAATAGATTAAGCGCGAGACAAAGTATTATGAAAAAGGGTTATTATAATGCTTAAGTAACAAAAAAATGTTAGGGTGCTCAATGATCGTTTGTGTCCTACTATTTCGATTATTCTTTCGCCAACGTCCATACCACGTTGAAAACACCGGTTCTCGTCCGATCACCGAAGTTAAGCAACGTCGGGCGCGGTCAGTACTTGGATGGGTGACCGCCTGGGAACACCGCGTGATGTTGGCTTTTTGCTATTTTTACTCGATTGCTTTCATTTATAAATCTTTATAATTATGTAAATTAATTTATAGTAATTTTATAACCGTTAATGACGGTTATAAAATTACTAGGTCTAATTGACCTGATCTGATACTGCATTGACTTAATTCTTCTTTTATGTACTGACCTCAGCGGCCTTGGACTTGGTGTTCTCGAGCGTGTTGACGAGCTCCACGTTGTCCAGCATGTTGCCGGTGGAAGTGGCCAGTTCTCGCAGTAGAGTCCTCGAGGCCGGACAGAAGACTCTTGTTGGCGCTGGTCTCGATGATCAGAGATTCGCTCGCTGTGTACTGCGGCTTTGTACTAGCATTCTTTAGTGTCTTGATGGTAGGTTGATCTCACATCAATATGAAGGTTCCTTGTTTCTGCTACTGTATTGACTTACCTCCTTTTAGGAGTCCTTTATGGCAGACAGCAGGTTTCTATCAACTCTGTCTCGCTGATCAGCGACTCGCTGCTAAACTGACCTCAGCGCCTTTGGACTTTGCATTCTCTAGTGTCTTGATCTCACATAGATGCGTCAACGTTGCGACGTTGAGGTTCCTTGTTTCTGCTACTGTATTGACTTACCTCCTTTTAGGAGCTCTCTATAGCAAATGGCTCTCGTCGCGCTGCTGTACTGACCTCAGCAGCCTTGGACTTGGTGTTTTCGAGCGTGTTGACGAGTTCCACGTTGTCGAGCATGTTGCCGGTGGAAGTGGCTAGTTCTCGAAGCAGCGAGTCCTCGAGGCCGGACAGAAGACTCTTGTTGGCGCTGGTCTCGATGATCAGGGACTCTCGTTGCTCTTCGAGGTCGGAACGCTCGGCACGCACCACCACGCTGAGTAGCTGGTCTTCCAGACCCTGGGGAATGAGAATTTACTTTAACGATATTTTACGTACACCAAAATAACACGATAAACTTGAAATAAATAATAAAAATTGGTTCATGTCCATTGGATTAGCTATTTTTATGCCATACACGCACAATGACATGCACCTCATAATGACGCGTATGACCAGGCCTGGCTCACTCCGCGCGGTAAATCCGATAATTACCTACAGCAAAGCGCCCNACGTCGGCGGCGGAGTTTACGTCGACTATCACTCAATCAACTCAAAACGAACTCGCGCGCGCGTATTTTGAATTAAACGGCGCGTAAATTTTTCTATTTGTATTTGTTTTTTATTTTTTTTACTAAAACCGAAAATACCGAAAATCCCGGTTTTTGTGAAATGAATACCGGTATTAATTAGACCTAAATTTGGCCCGGTATTCCAGTATTTTCGAAATTCGGTATCCCGGTTTGCGACCCCTAGTCATAACATCTACCTGCATGCCAAATTTCAGCCCGATCCGTCCAGTGGTTTGGGCTGTGCATTGATAGATCACTGTTAGGGTCCTAACGAATATTAGTAAGAAATAAAATAGTGGACTGTATAAAAATAGGTTGCTGTATTCTCGCCAGCCTAATTTACATGAAATTATCAGAGTACGCGGTATTTGTGCGACGACTGTGGTGTCCCAAGGACGAGTGTGTGACCCGAGCTCTGCCGATGATGACGCTGTCAGCCCGAGGTGACGTTAGTCATCGTACGCCGCCCGCACGTCTCCTCCCGCGCGTTGTTGGCTTCCCAACACTAAGTATGTCAGTCAGTCAGTCAGTCAGTCGGTCAGTCACCTTTGAATTATATTTATTTAGATTTCAACTCTATTCTCAAGAGGTACCAACCTGATGACGGGCGGCGTGATGTACTCCTCGCCCATGGTGACGGTGATGTAGTCTGTGAGCGCTCGGTAGATGCGGTCGCCGCGCAAGTATCAGGCCTCGAAGGCCGCAGGGGGTCGCGGCAGGCCTGCTGAAGCACCGACCTGATGACGGGCGGCGTGATGTACTCCTCGCCCATGGTGACGGTGATGTAGTCTGTGAGCGCGCGGTAGATGCGGTCGCCGCGCAAGCATCAGGCCTCGAAGGCCGCAGGGGGTCGCGGCAGGCCTGTTGGGGCACCGACCTGATGACGGGCGGCGTGATGTACTCCTCGCCCATAGTGACGGTGATGTAGTCTGTGAGCGCTCGGTAAATACGGTCGACGCGGAAACATCGCAGAAGCATCAGAATCTCGAAGGGCTGAAGAATGTCCCGGTAGTTGTTCGGGATTTCCGCAGACTCTGGGGTGTCGCTGTCGAACCACTGTGGAAAAAAGAGTAATTAAGTACACTTTTTAATAAACTTTGGTAATAGACGAGAACTATTTGGTCTAAGAACGACGAGATGGTCGGACGCGGTGAGGAGGACGGTGGGCGGGAGTTTGCATCGTGCGGTCCACACAGCTTATGACCGCAGTCTGTGGAGGAACACTATCTGTGATCGCGATCCTCATCAGTGAGAGACCGAGGAAGAGGAAGAAGAAGTTATCTAAGAGGTCAACTTATCACTAAATAAGTTATAACAATAGGCCTAGATTTGCATCCCACTTAACACTAGAGGGCCTAGTGTGAGTAATACATCAAACGCGTCAAAAAATTACAATAAATGTATGACGGATTGTACAGCGCCCCTAGCGGGGAACGTTCAAAAACTAAAATTTTCATACATTTTTTAACGCGCTCAATAATGCTTAGTAGTAGAAATAGTGGATTGTGGTCAAATACCTGCCTTGTTATGCATAAAAAAATATTTAAACCCCCTAATTTAAAAATGCAATGACAAAATCGTATTGTTGCGAGAGGCAGGTTTATATTTTGTCTGCGATGGAATTCGGGACGGGTGTAGCTTACGGTTGGGTCGACAAACCTTTTTATGCGGCAGACTGCGTTTCTTTTAATTTTTCCTTTCTTTCTTTTAAAAGGTGATAATGGACTGAAGACACAATAAGAGTTGGAGAGTAAAATAAACAGATAAACAGTACATAATCTACTGAACCAATTAATTGTGATATCTAACACACGTTCAAGTTACCTCTTGCCAGACGTCGAGGCCTCTGGCAATGTTGTCGGGAAGAGTTGAAAATATCTCGAAGTCTAAACTCAGCTTCATGATATCTTGCCATCCCTAAAAACATAACTTATTATTTATCACTAATAATATAAAATGTAACAATACTTTTGAATCGAGCCCAGCACTCATGTATAACAAAAAAAGGCAATAACAATGAACACGAAAAACGTATTGTTGGCCTCTCAAGCGAGATGTGAATGACAATTACGTCATATGGAACTAATTATAAAGTCATGATAAACTGAAGAACTTTTTGAACTCATCTATCGCCAACGTCCATACCACGTTGAAAACACCGGTTCTCGTCCGATCACCGCAGTTAAGCAACGTCGGGCGCGGTCAGTACTTGGATGGGTGACCGCCTGGGAACACCGCGTGATGTTGGCTTTTTGCTTATGTAAATTTTGTATTTCAATATTTTTTTTTGTTTGTCTACTGTCAATTGTTCAATTGAACTTGCCAGTATTTTTACCCTTGCTAAGAAGTTCAAACTTCTTTCAATTGCTTTTGGACCTTAAAGCAACGGAATAAGGTTCAAAATAAACTATACTCTCTAACCTGAGCTGGTATCCAAGAAGCCGGGCAAGGCGTAGGCGACTTCTCAAGAGAAACGTTCCCCTTGATGAAGAAGTCCAGTTGCATCTGGCTCACGTTGCCCTCGCTTTGTTCCAGCTTTATGTCCATTTGGAAAGAGAACAGGAGCTTGTGCCGTTCGAATATACCTGTGTAACAATATTCACATTATGCGAATGCAAATTATGCCTATTATGCGAATATGAATTGAGATTTCGAGTACGATTTCCTTTGGTATGTTTCGTATCGGTTACAATTTTAAAAAGCCTTTTTTAATCCCTGCTGAAACGGGCATGGCAAAACTTTTTATTGGTTTTGGATTTGGACCATAAGACAAGGCAATATGGTTCATATTAGTGAAAAATATTGACTCTAGATTCACTACCTGTTACACCAAAAACTAGCGAATTCTATTGTGCTTGATATAGGCAGTTATTTGTTCTAATATAAATAGAATTATGTAAAGATTGGAATAATATTTTACCTGTGCAACCATAATCATACACGTTTTTGGTCAACATATCGATGATATTCCTTAGACGTCTGGCCAGGATTACATTTGGCATTGCCTTACGTAGCGAAAACGAAAACACCTGTAAAGTATAAATAAATACATTTTATTACGTCATAAGTGAATGTGTGTTAAACGCATGACACAAGTCAAAGTCACGGCTAAACTACATTTTATTATTAACCTAATTCTTTGTATAGCACACACTTTTGTAGGAGAAATTCGCACCACATCTATCGTTTTTCTTACAAACTAACTTTTGGAGCACCTATCGTATTTTTGGTACGAATATTTCGCTCATCCATTCGCCAACGTCCATACCACGTTGAAAACACCGGTTCTCGTCCGATCACCGAAGTTAAGCAACGTCGGGCGCGGTCAGTACTTGGATGGGTGACCGCCTGGGAACACCGCGTGATGTTGGCTTTTTGCTTCTATTTAGTCAAACGTATTTGTCAAAATTTATTATTGTTTTTTACGATAAAGTTCACTTACATCAAGATACGAAGATAATGAGTACTGGTACATAGAATTCACGCCTGCCATGTCTGATAGCACGAAGAATAGGATGGAGCCTCGCTTCGCCACGGGTCGGTAGCCATCACGGAACTTTTCGATGTCCTTTGTGGTTGCTTCTGCCAGTGCTAGTTTTTCCATGACCTAAAAACAGAGAAGACATTTTTTTTTATAAAAAATACCTTTTATTTTATCTTACGGTAGGGTAAACACAAAGAAAGGTGTAGTAAGCGCCACCTAGTGTAATTACATAAAAACAACCATCATTTTGGTGTGAAAGGTTCTAGTTCAAGTAGATTTACCACTAGGTGGCGTTTTATAGAAGGTAAATTATTTTGGTTGCATGAACTCGTAATCCCAATAATAGATTAGCACAAACAATTTTAGCGAGACAAAAGTATTAGGGAAAAGGGTAATAAAATTAAGAAAAAGGTTAGGGTGCTCAATGATTGTTTGTGTCCTACTATTTCGATCGTTCTTTCGCCAACGTCCATACCACGTTGAAAACACCGGATCTCGTCCGATCACCGAAGTTAAGCAACGTCGGGCGCGGTCAGTACTTGGATGGGTGACCGCCTGGGAACACCGCGTGATGTTGGCTTTTTGCTATTTTATTCCATTGGTTTCATTAGTAAATATTTGTGTTATTTCATATAATTAACTTTTATAACCGTAATCAGACGTAGTACTTAGAAGGGTCCTAAAAATGTAACAACGAACGCCACTGATATCGAGCGGCAAACAGACGTCGCGTCGGTAGTTTAGACTTGCAGTCTCTAGTTTCTTCATGGCTACTGTATTGACTTCGCTTACTATGGGCCTCATAAGAAGGCTCAAGGTCACCCAAAGAGCGATGGAGCGTGCTATGCTCGGAGTTTCCCTGCGTGATCGAATCAGAAATGAGGAGATCCGTAGGAGAACCAGAGTGACTGACATAGCCCGCAGAATCGCTAAAATCAAGTGGCAGTGGGCGGGGGACATAGCTCGAAGAGCTGATGGCCGCTGGGGCAGGAAAGTTCTTGAGTGGCGACCACGAGCTGGAAGACGTAGCGTGGGCAGGCCTCCCACTAGGTGGACCGACGATCTGGTGAAGGTCGCGGGAAGTACCTGGATGCAAGCGGCGCAGGACCGGTCTTTGTGGAAATCCTTGGGGGAGGCCTTTTTTGTCCAGCAGTGGACGTCTTTCGGCTGAAACGAACGAACGAACGAACTGTATTGACTTACCTCCTTAGGAGTCTTTTATGGCAGACAGCAGGTTTTTTTCAGCTCTGTCTCGCTGATCAGCGACCGACTCGCTGCTGTACTGACCTCAGCGGCCTTGAACTTGGTGTTGGACAGAAGAATCTTGTTGGCACTGGTCTCGATGATCAGCGACTCACTGCTGTACTGACCTTAGCGGCCTTGGGACTTTGCATTCTCTAGTCTAGTGTCTTGATGGCAGGCTGATCTCAAATCGACGCGTTAACGTCGTGACGTTGAGGTTCTTTGTTTCTACTACTGTATTGACTTACCTCCTTTTAGGAGACCTCGATGGCAAACAGCAGGCTCTCGTCAGCTCTGTCTCTCTGATCAGCGACTCACTGCTACTGACCTCAGCAGCCTTGGACTTGGTGTTTTCGAGCGTGTTGACGAGCTCCACGTTGTCCAGCATGTTGCCGGTTGAAGTGGCTAGTTCTCGAAGCAGCGAGTCCTCGAGGCCGGACAGAAGACTCTTGTTGGCACTTGTCTCGATGATCAGAGACTGACCTCGGCGGCTTTGGACTAGCATTCTTTAGTGTCTTGAGGCCAGGCTGATCTCACATCGACGAGTCAACGTCACGACGCTGAGGTTCCTTGTTTCTGCTACTGTATTTACTTACCTCCTTTTAGTAGCCCTCCATGGCAGACAGCAGGATTTTGTCAGCTCTGTCTCGTTTGCTTTGCTGTACCTACTGACCTCGGCAGCCTTGGACTTGGTGTTCTCGAGCGTGTTGACGAGTTCCACATTGTCAATTGCAATTTATGAATAAATATGAATATGAAATAACATGTTGCCGGTGGAAGTGGCTAGTTCCCGCAGTAGAGAGTCCTCGAGGCCGGACAGAAGACTCTTGTTGGCACTTGTCTCGATGATCAGCGACTCACTGCTGTACTGACCTTAGCAGCCTTGGGACTTTGCATTGTCTAGTGTCTTGATGGCAGGCTGATCTCACATCGACGCGTCAACGTCGCGACGTTGAGGTTCCTTATTTCTGCTACTGTATCAGTACAGTAGGTAAGTCAGCTTACCTCCTTTTAGGAGCCCTCGATAGCAAACAGCAGGCTCTCGTCAGCTGTCTCGCTGATCAGCAACTCGCTGCTGTACTGACCTCAGCAGCCTTGGACTTGGTGTTCTCGAGCGTGTTGACGAGCTCCACGTTGTCCAGCATGTTGCCGGTGGAAGTGGCTAGTTCTCGAAGCAGCGAGTCCTCGAGGCCGGACAGAAGACTCTTGTTGGCGCTGGTCTCGATGATCGGCGATTCGCTCACCGTTGTATTGCGGCTTTGGACTTGCATTCTCTAGTGTCTCGATGGCAGGCTGATCTTACATCGACGCGTCAACGTCACAACGTTGAGGTTCCTTGTTTCTGCTACTGTATTGACTTACCTCCTTTTAGGAGCTCTCTATAGCAAAAGGCTCTCGTCGCGCTGCTGTACTGACCTCAGCAGCCTTGGACTTGGTGTTCTCGAGCGTGTTGACGAGCTCCACGTTGTCTAACATGTTGCCGGTGGAAGTGGCTAGTTCTCGAAGCAGCGAGTCCTCGAGGCCGGACAGAAGACTCTTGTTGGCGCTGGTCTCGATGATCGGCAACTCGCTCGCCGTTGTACTGCGGCATTGGGACTTTGCATTCTCTAGTGTCTTGAGGGCAGGTTGATCTCACATCAATATGAAGGTTCTTTGTTTCTGCTACTTCATTGACTTACCTCCTTTTAGGAGTCCTTTATGGCAGACAGCAGGTTCCTATCAACTCTGTCTCGCTGATCAGCGACTCGCTGCTGTACTGACCTCAGCGCCTTTAGACTTTGCATTCTCTAGTGTCTTGATCTCACATAGACGCGTCAACGTTGTGACGTTGAGGTTCTTTGTTTCTACTACTGTATTGACTTACCTCCTTTTATTAACTATCTATAGCAAAAGGCTCTCGTCGTCCTACTGTACTTACCTCAGCAGCCTTGGACTTGGTGTTCTCGAGCGTGTTGACGAGTTCCACATTGTCAATTGCAATTTATGAATAAATATGAATATGAAATAACATGTTGCCGGTGGAAGTGGCTAGTAATCGCAGCAGCGAGTCCTCGAGGCCGGACAGAAGACTCTTGTTGGCACTTGTCTCGATGATCAGAGACTCGCTGCTGTACTGACCTCGGCGGCTTTGGACTTGCATTCTTTAGTGTCTTGAGGGCAGGCTGATCTCACATCGACGAGTCAACGTCACGACGCTGAGGTTCCTTGTTTCTGCTACTGTATTGACTTACCTCCTTTTAGGAGTCCTTTATGGCAGACAGCAGGTTTCTATCAACTCTGTCTCGCTGATCAGCGACTCGCTGCTGTACTGACCTCAGCGCCTTTGGACTTTGCATTCTCTAGTGTCTTGATCTCACATAGATGCGTCAACGTTGCGGCGTTGAGGTTCTTTGTTTCTGCTACTGTATTGACTTACCTCCTTTTAGGAGTCCTCGATAGCAAACAGCAGGCTCTCATCAGCTCTGACATACTGACCTCAGCAGCCTTGGACTTGGTGTTCTCGAGCGTGTTGACGAGCTCCACGTTGTCTAACATGTTGCCGGTGGAAGTGGCCAGTTCTCGCAGTAGAGAGTCCTCGAGGCCGGACAGAAGACTCTTATTGGCGCTGGTCTCGATGATCAGAGACTCTCGTTGCTCTTCGAGGTCGGAACGCTCGGCGCGGACCACCACGCTGAGTAGCTGGTCTTCTAGACCCTGGGGAATGAGGATAAACATTAAGTTTTTTTACGTTCGCGAAAATATGACAGATATTGGAGAATATGAAGAAAAAATAAGTGTTTCTGTTCATGTCCATAGACTTAGCTATTTTTATGCCACACACACTGTGTGACACACATTGATGACGTAATAAGAATCTTCGATATAAATTACAAAAAGTACGACATTTTGGCTCATTCATTCGCCAACGTCCATACCACGTTGAAAACACCGGTTCTCGTCCGATCACCGAAGTTAAGCAACGTCGGGCGCGGTCAGTACTTGGATGGGTGACCGCCTGGGAACACCGCGTGATGTTGGCTTTTTGCCTTCCTTTATTTTTTAATCAACAATTATTTATTTTTGCAATAAAATATAGCATTGCCCGCTAGCGACCGTAGTATATTATTTATACGTATTATTATACCTGTACAGTGACGGTGTAGTTGATGACCACGGCCTTGGCGTAAGCAGCAGGGTTGAACTGCGGGTTGGCCAGTTTTGTGGTAAGGTACATGCGGAATTTCGGGTCGTAGTCCACTTCGGAACTGCCCAGCATAACGAAGGTACGCCCGCCTTCAACTGAAGTCAAGAGATACAATTATTATTAGTGCGGGCACCATAGGACTATTAATAGATCAATTTAACTAACAGGACTAGTAGAATATGCAATTTAAGGCTGGGTTGCACTTACACCATCTTACTTTAACTTTAACAAACGTCAAAAATCTGACAGAATTTAAACAAAAAACACCGACTATGGTTAAGGACGAAGCATACTTATCAACCCGGAAACGGATCGTAACCGTATCAACTCGAGGGAGTCAGTATTATTTGTATGAAACTCCGTTAGTAGTTATCTGCACCATAACGTAAACGATCCCTTTCCGGGTTGATAAGTGTGTGTTGATAAGTAAAGTTACGGTGACCTCTAAAGGCCTAATGCCCGTTTTAACCATCAATTCCTAATTTTACGTGACCCCTATGGTAACACATAATATGAATTTTGTTTTCATAGGAGTCAAAAATTAGGGATTGATAGTGAAAACAGGCATAAGAATAACAAATGTTAATAACTTTTGATGTTCTTCTCCAGCACGTTGTCGACGACGGGGTCGATGTACTCGTTGACGTCTTGAAACAGCACCGGCAGCCCGTACTTGATGGCCATCTCCAGCTGACGCAGGAACTGCGGGTCGTTGAACGACAGCACCTGAAGGGTTAACATGATATTAACCTTTGCAATGCCAAAAGATAGAAGAAAAGCGTAACTGTGTAACCATTGAAGGTCTGCAATGTGGAGATTCAGAAGACAATAAATGAAACGCGTCCATACTAATTAATTACTTGTTTAATCGTGGTTTCACAATAATCATTTATTGAAACTTAAGCTTACGACTAAACAAACTTTTCGTGGCAAACAATCATGGGAATTTACATATTTCCACATACAAAATAGGCTAGCTCAAAATCGACCGTTCACGTTGGCGTCGCGCACCGGGAAGAAGGAAACTTCTCGAACTTCCGCGTGAGTCGCGAGACGCGCGGGGGGACTGCCTCGCGCCGATTGGCCGAGGAAAGGGCGCGGCACCATACTTCCGCGTGATTCGCTATTAGACGAGATGGCGTGATAACACTAACGTTGCGTTGTTCGCGCGCGATAACGTTACAAACGTTATGAAATAGCGTTGCCGCGTTACAACCTCCCCCTCTAGTTCAGACGACGCAACGCGGTCTGGACTAGCTTAAAAGTTACGCGGCCTACCTCGCCTACGCTTCTCCCTAACAGGCGGATGGATGTGACCAACAAATGGGGTAAGTTGTGAGGCATAACACTTCCCTAACTTCGCTCCAGGTTCTCCCTTCAGGAGGTAAGTGCTGTCACTCAAGACCCTCGATACCTTATACGGGCCGTCACGCCTAGGGATAAACTTAGGGGTTTTACCTCGATCAGTGTCGTTCAAACCCTGGGTCTTCAACAAGACCAAATCGCCCACCTAATAGTCTGGCGGCGGCCGACGCTCTTGGTCGGCATAGTTTCTCTCGGTGGCAGCTCGGAGGCGGCTAGGGTAATCAATAAGTCGCTCGTCCGGCCCCTCCCCCTGCTTCAAAGCTACCCCGAGGCAATAACAACTGCTCTCNTCTGACTAGCTCCTAATTTGGATACTGATTGCAAAGGCCTAGTAAATAAATAACGTAATAATTTTTCTACTTGTATTTATCTAGTGCAGTTGTTTTGGAGTCAATTATAGTTTTTTTACACTAATAGATTCTATTCAGGTAGAAAATAGCGTCTGAGCGCGTCATAATTCAATTGTATTGTCTGACTGCACGTACTCTATGAACAATTCTGACATAAAATCTATTGTCGAACAAAAGCTGGGTTGCACCATCTTACTTCAACTTTGACAGGCGTCAAAAGTCTGTCTAACTCCATACAAAAAACACCGGTTATCGCCAAAGCTTCGGTCAAAGTTAGGTCACGTCAGGTGGTGCAACTTAGCCAAAGAAAAAATTCATTTTGATCGCTAATGTCAGTTTGTAGCGAGTGACACAACCTCCCCGTCTGAAGGCCAGCGGCCGACTGCCGCCCGCACCCCGCGAAGGCCCCCTCAACAGCAAAACGTTCGGAATTTATAAAAAGTAAAATTTATGAATGAAAGTAATGTTCGATTGAAAAACGCAACGTGTCATTTAAAGATTAAAGAATTCCCAATCTATTCGTGCAAAAATCTTTTAAATTAACATAGCCGTTTTGGAGGAGTAGGGAATTTAAGTAAAAAATCGATGTCCCATATTTATTTTTTTAATCCAAAACAAAGAGACGTAGCGAAAATTCAAACGTCACAAATGTAGTCCTTGAACTGTTGTATAACATATATTTTTTTAAACTATTTCTGTCCAGCAGTAAAAGAGGAGTAGGCTTTACAAAATGCCCATTTGGCGCGGATTGAGGACACTAATCGCCTTAAGGCTGGGTTGCACTTACACCATCTTACTTTAACTTTAACAAACGTCAAAAATCTGACAGAATTTAAACAAAAAACACCGACTATGGTTAAGGACGAAGCATACTTATCAACCCGGAAACGGATCGTAACCGTATCAACTCGAGGCAGTCAGTATTATTTGTATGAAACTCCGTTTGTAGTTATCTGCACCATAACGTAAACGATCCCTTTCCGGGTTGATAAGTGTGCTATGACCTTTAAAGTTACGGTGACCTCTAAAGGCCTAATGCCCGTTTTAACCATCAATTCCTAATTTTACGTGACCTCTATGGTAACACATAATATGAATTTTGTTTTCATAGGAGTCAAAAATTAGGGATTGATAGTGAAAACAGGCATAAGAATAACAAATGTGAATAACTTTTGATGTTCTTCTCCAGTACGTTGTCGACGACGGGGTCGATGTACTCGTTGACGTCTTGAAACAGCACCGGCAGCCCGTACTTGATGGCCATCTCCAGCTGACGCAGGAACTGAGGGTCGTTGAACGACAGCACCTGGCGAGTTAACAAGTTAGTAACCTTTCGTTCGTTTCAGCCGAAAGACGTCCACTGCTGGACAAAGGCCTCCCCCAAGGATTTCCACAAAGACCGGTCCTGCGCCGCTCGCATCCAGGCACCACCCGCGACCTTCACCACATCGTCGGTTCACCTAGTGGGACGCCTGCCCACGCTACGTCTTCCGGCTCGTGGCCGCCACTCAAGAACTTTCCTGCCCCAGCGGCCATCAGCTCTTCGAGCTATGTGCCCCGCCCACTGCCACTTGATTTAGTCTTTGCAATGCTAAAAACTAAATCTTGAAAACTGAGCCATAGTTTCTGGCCCCGCCACTTTAAAGTCAAAAGATGCCATCAAATTTAATAGTGTGCTACCTTAATTCAACTTTCTTTTGCTTTCAAGAAAAAAATAGCTTCAAAAATAATTAGCAGTCAAAAGGGCTGGTCAGATGACTGGGCACTTGAAAACTTGAAAGGTTAACCTAATACAAAATGTCGACTATGCCTTATCAGTTACTTTAAACCGGTTTTCAAAATATCAAATTGTGTAGATTTTATTATAATAACTAGAAGAGCCTATGATACAGACCTTAAGGTTGTTCTTGGCTTCCTTCTTCTTAATCCATGTGAGGGCCTGTGTTTGAGGGTCGATGCAAAGCGGGAATCGCGACGCGCGAGTTGTCAAAATACCATTCTGTACCGACAATTCGTCTGGTGGTAAACCTTCGGAGTTCCATCTGAAAAGGGGCAAAATATTTAATTTTATAGCTTCTTTTTCTTTATCATCATCTATCGTAATATCATAACAGAGTAGATCACACAAGCCTGGCATTAGAGCAGAGAGAGAATAAATATAAGCCATTTATGTCTTACCCGCTAATCTCAACTTCATTGGTCAAATTCCTTTCAATAGTGAAAGGTTGTGTGAGCGGAATGCCTCTGTCCAGCACATCGCCTAACCAGTCTTCATATATCATCGTCTGCCTAAACGAGAACGAGAATGGCCCCGCGTAGCTCAGGAACGAAGCGGCCAACAGACAGTTCCCGATCAGTCTCGATTGTTCTACGTATAAAGCTGCCAGTTCTATTTTCCACCGCGCCTGTTCGCTCGACAACCCAGACATAAGTTTATCAGCTGCGACTAATCGTCGCATCATGATATCGGTTTCTTCCTGCAACTCCTGTCGTCGCATCATGGCTGTATCGTATCTATTGTTGAGGCCGTCTAAAGTTCTTTGTAACCGGTCGATCTCTCGGTTCAGCGAGGCGAGGTAGTTGACCGCTTCAGAGTATTCTTTCTCGAGAGCTTCCACTTTGTCCTGTTTGGGCTTCACCTCTTTGTAGACGGCGCAGTAGCCGAGGACGGCGATGACGAATTTCAGGAGGCCGTATCTGAAATAGTAAAACGTTCATGACCTTTTTAGTCATCTGTAGTTACTTTAAGAGTTTTTACACACTAGCGATTTGTTATGTAATTTCACAGCGAGACGAAAGCGCTGCGTGTATGCGGCGCATACGCAATGACATCGCTAGGATTTAGACTCGTTGTAAGCAGCTTTTTATTTAGGGATCGCGGCTTGCGTGCGGTTTACTAGCTGTGGTCTTGCCTCATAGAACAACGATAGATAAACAGAGAAAGGAAGAGAAAAAAAAAAGATTGAAAGTGAAAATCAAAAATGACCAGCACTGCAAGCAAATGACCAAATCTATTAATTCTCACAAGATCTATTAACAATGCCGGTTCCTCACCCAGCTTTACTAATCTGCTGCATGATAGGTATCCAGCTTCTTGTCCTTCTTCCTTTTTTTCCGTCTTGAAATGCTTTGCACATACATACTCACAGTGGGAGACGAGTAGTGGGCTATGTGGCAGGGATGTTATGGATACCCGTAACCGTAACCGGTATAACATTATTCCTATATCCGTAACCGTATCCATAACCGAAACTACATATCCATAACATCCCTACCATGTGGGACTCCCGGGCAGGGCTTACCCTCTAGAACCCGACGGTGTCCTACGGAGCCTTATGAAATGGAGGCGCGATTTGCTCTCCTAACTTGGACATTCACCTACGATTGACTTACTTGACTTAAGGCCCTATGTCTTCTAGATGGGGCAGAGGGCGTCCACAACAGTCCTCTATCTCGTTCGGTCTTGAGCTTCTCGCTTAATCTCGCTCCAGGTCGCTCGCTCACCTACGATTAAAGTCTGCGAAATATCTGCGGTTTAACAATGCCAGTCTCACCCAGCCTTGCTGATCTGCTGCATGGTATCCAGCTTTTTACTTTTCTTCATGTGCGCCTTGACAGCCTTGACTTGCGCCTGTGTGATGAGGTCGCAGTTCATCTCCTGCAGATTGCGCAAGAAGTTCGGGTCCGCCATCATGCCCTTAGCACCTTTCCAGCTCACGTCCTTGATGCCACGAATGATCACCACGCATTCGCATACCACCTGTTGTAGTGAATTTCAAAATTGAAATTACTGTTGGACAAACATGATTGAGACTGATGAGACTGCCCATTTGTGACTAGCGAGAGTTAGTTGAACCCTGTCGCCGCCGGACCTAATCTAACCTAACCCACTCGCTATAGAAACATACTTACATTTACCTTAGGTCGAGGTTTTAACCCGACTATGTAAAACAAATTGATATTCTTTCTAAAATTTAATAAGATCTCATTATAGAGAACGGTTTTATTGCATTCTATTTAGCTGAATTTAAAGTTAATAGGCACAACATTATAATACATTATTCCATCTAATAAAAAAAATATTTGTTAATAATAGCACACAACAGTACATCACATAACCTGTAAAACTATACCTGACATAGCATCAGAATCTAGTTTGATGTTGTTTTTTTTTTATATAAAAGATTATTAATATTTTTTTATTACACAAATTACTAATAGTCCCGTTAGCCCCTCGTACTAAGCTAAATATGCTTGTGTCACGAGTGAGCTCACCGCAATAGTCGAGCGGCGGCGGGAACCGAACCCGCGTTCCTCGGATCACGAGTCGGCCAGTCCGACCCCTTCACCGTTCGGCTATCGTGGCTTCAAATGTTATAGGTAGCTTCATAAAAGCTAAGTACTCACTTGTACAGCTTCTGGCGGTGTAGCAAAAGACCTAATCTCCGTAATATCGTTCTTATCCAAGTCGGCTAGCGCCAATCTGGCTGCTTCTAACGCCGGCAAGGCTGCCGAGAGAGCCTNTAGAGCCTCCTCGGCCTCAGATTTTTCCTCGGCTATGACCACGCTCTGCTCAGTTATTTCGACCGATTTGATGGCAGCCACGTTCTGTTTCACCACGGCTGCTTCGGTTGCTATAATGATACAGAAATGGAATGGCATTATCAAATTATTTGGAATAGTAAAATAGGCTAGTGAATACACTACTTAATTTTTAAGAGTTGTGAAAACGCGACTCTTTCGTAGATTTTATATGGCAAAGGGGATTTGGACGTCATCATGTCGGAAACTAATTGATCGACGATTTATTGATCTCAAAGCTACTAAAACTCAATTTCTTAAGTATTTGAAAACTAACATGGTTTTAGGGGATAGAAAAGTGTGCGTATTAGAATTATTGGTTTAATCGGTGTGAACAAGTAGATAATTACTTTAGCAATAATAAAATAACATCGCTTTTTATGGGTCGGCAATCGGCCTCAATACGAGCGTTCGATACTGACTAAAGCCTGGTCTGCGAGCATCCCATCCTTATCGCTTGCGCGTAGTTATATTGCTGTCGCGACTGTGCGACGGGCGCCCGCAGTGAGTGTGCGAGCGTGACAGCAACATAATTACGCGCGAGCGATAAGGAGGGGTAGCTTCCCCAAGCTACTGGAGAAAATTCTACGTGCTCGCAGACCAGACTATACCAGATTTACTCACCTGTAGAAATTTCTTTCAGCAATATCTCGCATTCCTTAGTCTGTTCGGCGACGATGATCTTTTGCACCGCCAGTTTAGCATTCAAGTCTTCCAACTGAACGTTTGCTTCTTCGATTTTGGCTAGACCGCCTATTAGACGTTCGCACTGGAATCATAAAATATGGCATTACAGCAATTTTACACATCTGTAAACATTTGTAAATTATGGTTCAAAACTTTATTCACAATATATTTGTACTATGTGTTCAGACCAAGTCTCAGGCGTCGTCTCAGTTTTTGTAAAAAGATGTTTAAAAATGAAATAAGAATTGTTTTAGTGCCAACGGCCTGCAGGCCTAAGATGCGCGCCGTGATAACTTTTATCGACGTCAAAATGTATGGGGAAAATCGATAAAATGGCGTGATAACCGCTTATTGCGGCGCGCATCTTAGGCCTACAGGAGACAAATCCCATACCATAGCTTGTTCCTTACTGTACCACCAGTCCAGAGCGTCGATGTGACATCACCAGGTGCGCCGTTAACTTGACTGGGTTGTATGTAGGTATAGTCTGATCTACGAGCACGTAGAATTTTGTCCAATGACCCCAAGCTACCCATCCTTATCGCTCGCGCGTAATTATGTTGCTGTCGCGCTCGCACACTCACTGCGGGCGCCAGCAATATTACGCGCGAGCGATAAGGATGGGTAGCTTGGGGTCATTGGACAAAATTCTACGTGCTCACAGACCGGGGTTTATGTCATTAATTACCTGAGCAATAATAAAGGCGTCCTTCTCATTCAACAGAGATAGGTAGTTGGTGAGGAAGTCCATGTAGTGTTTGGGCGTGACGTAGTTGTTCCTTCTCAACCTCAGAAGGAACTCCACAGAGTATCGCGCTACTGACATGTGCACGTGGACTACATGCTCCACTATGATGGATCGGAACTCGTCGGGGATCTTTTGAACCTGGATGTGGGGAAATGACAGTAAGGATTTTAAAAAAAGTATGTAAGTAACTCTGTCTGTCTGTCTCTCTTTCACGCCTAAACCACTGAATCGATTTTAATAAAAAGGCAATGCCGGAAATTGGCGTCTTTTTTTTTTTCGCGCGGCCATCGACCAAACCTTGTTTTTTGATTACAAAATAGTGTAATAAACCAAACTTACTATGACATGTATACCTCTAAACTCAGTCTGAACTGAGTTACTAGCATTAGAAGTTTGACGATTTCACATACTAAGTAGATTTGCTTTTTGCGCGCAAAAGACAATGCCGGAAATTGGCGTCTTTTTTTTTTCGCGCGGCCATCAACCAAACCATGTTTTTTGGATACAAAATAGTGCAATAAACCAAACTTACTAAAACATGTATACCTCTAAACTCAGTCTGAACTGAGTTACGAGCATTAGAAGTTTGATGATTTACATAGGGTGACGNGAGAGCCTCCTCAGCCTCAGATTTTTCCTCGGCTATAACCACGCTCTGCTCGGTTATTTCGACCGATTTGATGGCAGCCACGTTCTGTTTCACCACGGCTGCTTCGGTTGCTATAATGATACAGAAATGGAATGGCATTATCAAATTATTTGGAATAGTAAAATAGGCTAGTGAACACACTACTTAATTTTAAAAGAGTTGTCAAAACGCGACTTTCGTAGATTTTAGTTTAATGACGGATTCAATTGATCGACCATTTATTGATCTAAAAGCTACTAAAACTCAATTTCTTAAGTATTTGAAAACTTATATGGTTTTAAGGGATAGAATAAGTTTTAGGTTTTGTGCTTTTAAGATGTTGCGTATTAGAATTATTGGTTTAATCTGTGTGAACAAGTAGATAATTACTTTAGCTATAATAAACTAAGAGCGCTTTCACATTTGGGCGTTAAAAGCGCGACAGCAGCGCGGCCGCGGCGTTTTTATAATGTGAAGGCACGCATCCGCTATCACATATTATGAAATTCTCGGCAGCGCGTCTGTCACGCTGCTAATGCCACCTAAATGTGAAAGCGCTCTAACATAGCTTTTTGCTGTCGGCCTCATTAGGGACATTCGACTTGTGTTTGTGTCCCTATTTGATACCGATTATCAGATTTACTCACCCGTAGAAATCTCTTTCAGCAATATCTCGCATTCCTTAGTCTGTTCGGCGACGATGATCTTTTGCACCGCCAGTTTAGCATTCAAGTCTTCCAACTGTACGTTTGCTTCTTCGATTTTGGCTAGACCGCCTATTAGACGTTCGCACTGGAATCATAAAATATGGCATTAAATCAATTTTACACATCTGTAAACATTTGTAAATTATGGTTCAAAACTTTATTCACAATACAGTGTGAGTCACGTTAAAGTGTACATATGAAAATAGATGAAACTAGACCTATTTTTATCGACAAAAAAGTGGTCAAAAATTTTTTAAGATTTTTTTTTAATTTTTTATAGATTTTTTTTTTCTTTCAAGTACTTATTGTAAAGAAAACGTAATAACTTTTAAACTAAGAGGTATATCCTGATAAAATAAAAACAGTAATAATGCTAAATAACAGACGATACTAAAAAAATACATAAAATACTCAGAAAATGCCAACAAATAATAAAAAATGATACTTTTTGAAAAAAATCTGCTTAAAAATTCGTGTTTTTTTGGTTATTAGATAAATTTGTCCAAAAAATGCCCCTATAAAAGGTGGTTTTTATAACTTTGAATTATTCTATATCGTATTACCTTCGTAAAACCAAAAATCGCATGTCTCTATCCCTATCACAACATTTGCTATGATCGTTTGAACTAAGCCTCTCCGGGCGCGCCATTCAACGCTTCGCTAACAACGAAACTGAAAATGGATCTAGATTTGTAATTTTGATAAAGACAAGTTAGATTTCAAGTAAAAACAAAAGATTTCGAAGTAAAATAAGCATTTTAGTTAATATTAAAATTGTCCCTACTACCTGTAGAGGAGAATAATGTTGTGGTAGGCCTTTGTTCAAACTATCATAGCAAATATTGTGATAGGGATAGAGACATGCAATTTTTGGTTTTACAAAGGTAATACGATAGAGAATAATACAAAATAATAAAAACCACCTGTTATAGGGGCATTTTTTGGAGAAATTTATCAAATAACCAAAAAAACACGTATTTTTAAGCAGATTTTTTTCAAAAAGTATCATTTTTTATTATTTGTTGGCTTTTTTTTGTGTATTTTATGTATTTTTTTAGTATTGCCTGTTATTTAGCATTATTACTGTTTTTATTTTATCAGGATATACCGCTTAGTTTAAAAGTTATTACATTTTCTTTACAATACGTAACTGGAAGAAAAAAAATTCTATAAATTTTTTTAAAAAAATCTCAAAAATTTTTTGACCTCTTTTTTGTCGATCAAAATAGGTCTTGTTTCATCTATTTTCATATGTTCACTTTAACGTGACTCACACTGTATATTAATTGTACTATGTGTTCAGACCAAGTCTCAGGCGTCCGTCTCAGTTTTTGTAAAAAGATGTTTAAAAATGAAATAAGACTTGTTTTACTGCCAACGGCCTCGAGACAAATCTCATACTATAGCTTGTTCCTTACTGTACCACCAGTCCAGAGCGTCGATGTGACATCACAGCCACCAGGTGCGCCGTTAACTTGACTGGGTTGTATGTAGGTATAGTCTGATCTGCGAGCACGTAGAATTTTGTCCAATGACCCCAAGCTACCCATCCTTATCGCTCGCGCGTAATTATGTTGCTGTCGCGCTCGCACACTCACTGCGGGCGCCAGGAATATTACGCGCGAGCGATAATGATGGGTAGCTTGGGGTCATTGGACAAAATTCTACGTGCGCACAGACCGGGGTTTATGTCATTAAATTACCTGAGCAATAATAAAGGCGTCCTTCTCATTCAACAGAGATAGGTAGTTGGTGAGGAAGTCCATGTAGTGTTTGGGCGTGACGTAGTTGTTCCTTCTCAACCTCAGAAGGAACTCCACAGAGTATCGCGCTACTGACATGTGCACGTGGACTACATGCTCCACTATGATGGATCGGAACTCGTCGGGGATCTTTTGGACCTGAATGTGGGGAAATGACAGTAAGGATTTTAAAAAAAGTATGCTAAATCTATACTAATATAATAAATGCGAAAGTAACTCTGTCTGTCTGTCTCTCTTTCACGCCTAAACCATTGAACCGATTTTAATAAAATTTGGCATAGAGATAGTTTGAGTCCCGGGAAAGGACATAGGATAGTTTTTATTCCAGTTTTTGAAACAGGGACGCGCGCCGGCGAAGCCGCGGGCGGAAAGCTAGTGCTTAATAAATTAGCAGTTGTAGTACATATTTGATTGATTTATTTACAGACTTTACTTAAATTATTTTTGACTGCTATTTTAGCCACATAAAACGTTTCAATTTAAGACAGTGAGGCCTAACATAGATTTATAAGTTCAAAACAAAATGCGAAAATGTTTTTCAATAATACTTTTTCACTTACATCAGCTAAAAAGACGTTAGCCACAGCTAACAGCGCTTGTTTCGGCCACGGGAACTGCCAGTCTATGGTAGTGTTGTTCACTAAGCCAGGGAAACTGCGGCATCTGTGATTTTCATTCCGATCATGAAATATATGCTGAGATGTTAAATCTTACTAAATAAGTTCTAATTACTTGAGCAACTTTATGTCAACTGCCTGCTAAAAATTAGAGTTAAGTAATAATGCAAAATGTACCTATTTCTGAGAATATCACCACTGGGGGACATAGACAACACCACGTGGAGATTGTCAGCGCATTTGTTGCAGAAGAAGTTCCATACAGCATCTCTGTAAGTTATGAGAAAGTTTCAGCATTTAAAACATCATAAGTGACTAAAATAATTTATAACTCGGCTTCATATCAGTTTTGCAGTGATACAATCACAACACAAACGGGAGTGCTTTTAGAAACAATAACTAAACTCGCAAGACAAAAAAAATATGGTTGGAAAAGCAAAAAGCCAACATCACGCGGTGTTCCCAGGCGGTCACCCATCCAAGTACTGACCGCGCCCGACGTTGCTTAACTTCGGTGATCGGACGAGAACCGGTGTTTTCAACGTGGTATGGACGTTGGCGAATGACTGAGCGAAAAATGCGGACACAATACACTATCCGCAAAAGTTAAGTGAGAAAACCGATAGGTGGCGTTCACATGTTTTCACATGAACTACAATGCAAAAAATATTAGTGACCCACAATTCAATTGGCAACAGATGAAATTTTGGATAATTTTTTGTAAATTGTACATAACTCACTTGGCTATACCATATCCAGCCTCAGCGCTTTGGTTGCGCACGGCGTTGATGATGCCATCTTTTTCATCATCGCCAAACAGCGCAGGGATCATCCCAATCATTAGGATGTTGTTGATAAATTCCAGGAAGCCTTCTTCAAGGATCTGTTGTTAACACCAAAATATAGGAAGACAGTTTAGTGATTCAGCTGTCAATAAATACATATTTAAATCTACAAGTCTAATTTTTACTTTTGAACTTTCGGCTCCTTATTACAAAAGGTAAACTCTGATTGAACTCCAGTTTAAATTTATATTTCAGTACCAGTGTTCATCGGGTTTAACTTTTTTGTATCAAGACTTATTATGTAAAAATATGAAGGACTTAATATTTTTAATGTTAACGTTTTATTTTGTAGTTATTCCTTCTGTTTACTATGGAAGGAGATAATTACTTCAAGGACTACCAACCTGTGCTGCGGTGAAGAGGAATACGGTTTTCTTGCCATCCACACCTAGCTGGTTGTACATCCGCTTCATGTCGTCCTTGAACGTGTTCTCGTTGTAGTTCCGCGTCACCGTGATCTCGAACATTTCGCAACCTATGATAAAAAATAATTGAAATCAACGAATAGTCCGAGCAAATAAAGTATGGTAACAATTTTGTAAATACGATATAGGACAAAATCTAGAAGAGACTAACCAGCCAGTAGCTGGCAGCCACTCATCATAATAATATTTGACATAGCAACCAAACATTATACTTGAAAAGCAAAAAGCCAACATCACGCGGTGTTCCCAGGCGGTCACCCATCCAAGTACTGACCGCGCCCGACGTTGCTTAACTTCGGTGATCGGACGAGAACCGGTGTTTTCAACGTGGTATGGACGTTGGCGAATGACCGAGCGAAATATGCGCACGAAATACGCTATCCGCAAAAAAATGTCTGTAGATAAAACCGATAGGTGGCATTCAGATATTTTAACATGACTTGTTTTCGTTGTAGTTTCGTGTCATCGTGATCTCGAAAATTTCGCAACCTTTGTTGTAAAATAATTTGAATCAACGAAGAGTCTGGGTTCGTATCGCATTTGAAGTTGTTGATTTTTTTAAATATTGGTTTTCCAATTGGAATAAACAAAGAAAAACTAAAACAACATTTCGCGATCTATGCGGAGAATGCGCTGTGTGCGCGTTAGATGTCCCCAAACAACACTACATACTATTTTGAACTTATCGCAGTAAGAATAAGGTCTAATTTTACTTACCAGCAGCAAATGAAGCCAGACGGCAGATGGACTTCTTTCCGGAGCCGCCGACGCCGATGATCATGGCGTTGCCGCGCACCATGCGCAGGATACAGTATAATTTGGAATTTAAACATGTAGAAATAAGGTCTAATGTCACTTACCAGCAGCAAATGAAGCCAGACGGCAGATGGACTTCTTCCCGGAGCCGCCGACGCCGATGATCATGGCGTTGCCTCGGTCCATGCGCAGGATTCGATGCGCGCGCGTCAAATGCTCGAGACAATCCTCGAACAACACTACAGACATTTTGCCGATACGCTCGTTGAATTCGTCTAATATCTGAAAAGGATAAGAATAATTTTGTTGTTTAAGAAAAACTTAGATATATTAAAAACAAATAATATTTTTAATACAATAACACTGTAGGTAATTAAATTAAATAGTACGAAAAAGCAAAAAGCCAACATCACGCGGTGTTCCCAGGCGGTCACCCATCCAAGTACTGACCGCGCCCGACGTTGCTTAACTTCGGTGATCGGACGAGAACCGGTGTTTTCAACGTGGTATGGACGTTGGCGAATGAATGAGTGAAATTTAAGATCACAATATCCAAGAAGTCAGTGACGTAATTGTAACAACAATACCTCTTGAAAGAGAAAATAGACAGCTTCGTAGTCAAGCAGATCTTCGTAATATCGTATTTCCTCCTCATCTAAAGCATTTCGGTAGTCACCAAACAATAAGGGGTCACGAAGGACATATTCTTCTAGCTGCAAAGAAATACGTTATTTTAATCAATTTAAAACAAAATTACGGCTATGACAAACTACAACATTTCAGTACAAACCGTAAGTTCTTTTTCGACTTCAATTTCTTCCTCCTCTATTTCCAGTTCGGCCTCAGCCGCAACAGACGGTGCGGCAGCTGGTTTTACTATTTTTTCTCCAAACTCTGTAATAGTGACAAGCACTGTTGTATTTGTTTAATTATTAAATAGCCAAAAGTAAATAAGGCACCTGGCCATGTCACTTTATGGCGAGATTTTTATTGGGACCGCGTTTGAATTCTTAACTAAATAGCCTACCTAGATAAATACAATTTGCAAATAAACTCTTTAAAATGTTTTTTGTGAGATATTTGGCTTAAGCTTGATTACGGATAATTAAATGAAGTATCGAGTGTAGCATTAAATTGACACAGTAATTGGAAAATGTGCACGACTAATTTTTTTAGGCGCTCATTGGACATACTAAACGATTTTTAGATCAACATTTATTTATGATTCTGATTTAAAATAATGTTTTTAATCTGAAACCAGATAGCCGTTAAATAGACGCCACATAATTTTGAACAAGATAGGTACGGTTGAAAACCACAAAAACTTATTTCTTCCTCCTCTGTTTAAGTATTTAATCTTACCATCTTCCTCTTCTTCAACGACAAGATCTTCCTCAGCCACCACAATCTCTTCCAGCACCACTGGCTCCTCTTCAGGGAAATATTTCACGATGTGCTCTTGAATGTGGCCACGCATCAGCTCATTGTCCTGTAATACGAAGTTCATTTTAAGGGTTCAGCTAAAACTCACGCGGTGCATTTAATGTACGTTTACTCGGTACGTGTGATCAAGGCTTAATAGACGAGCGCACGCGTTGGACGTATGGAGCAACCGCGCATGTTTTAGCGGAGGCCCTTAGGCCACTCACACAGCGACTTTTTATAGCGATACAGTAACGATTCCGTCGCGTGTTCGCATCAATATAGTCGCAAAGCGGTCGCTGTGTGCCCTCACCCACATAAACACGATTGAGTCGTGAACCAAACGCGATGATGTCGCGCTTCTGTCGCGAATCAAACGCGATTCAGTAACGGTACAAAATTACCTGCGATCGCTACAGTTGCTTCTGTTCATTCCCCGATGTCGTCCAACACGGTCGCGCTTTTGCATCGATACAGTCGTTAGACGCATTTGCAACTTTTAGTTAGTTAGTCGCCATGGGCAAGGGGCTTTAGACTTTAGTCCCCGTGGTTTGGGTTCAATTCTAAGATAAGATATAATAGTTAGGTAGACCAACCTGTACGTTGATAAGTCGGTCGCAAATAACGCGCGTAAACTCATTGCGCCAGCAGCGTACAACAGCACGCTTCTCGCTGAAGAAGTTCGGATGCGTCAGGCACATGCCAGCCGCGATGCGAGACAGGTCTCGAAGATTGAAGATGTAGTGGAATTTCGCCGGCGTTGGCGGTAGATCGACGATTATTATCTGAGATGATAAACGAGTTTTAGTTAAAACATTTCGATGATAATATACGATGATTTTGATTGTTATTTTTCTTACCAAAAACTGTAATAGAGCTTTTAATTAGTGAGAAACATTTCGAAATCACTGTAAATTGTAAGGCTGGATTGGACCATTTTACTTTAACTTCAACAATGTCAAACTCTGTACAAAAATACCGGTTACCGGTACTCATGTTATAGTCACGGTGGTGCAATTCAGCCTAAGAAATCAATCGTCAAGCGGACTCACGAAAGCACGCTAGCAAATGCTTTCTACTGTATCTTGTTGCTAGATATGTATTCAAATTAGAAGAAACGTCTTTGAATTGTAATGTTTGATTTTCAAATAAGTACTAATTAATTTCCAAAATAATCTTACCTTGTACAAATCTAGGGTCATTTGAACAATTTTGTCGACGATTTCTTGAATTTCATCTGGGAATATTATGAAGTGACCATGAAGTATTGACACGTAGATGTGTCGCAATGTGTTTTCCGACGGAAATTGCAAGTTGTACACTGAGAACATTGATATGAAACGTGGATCGACCTGGAAATAAAATATTTTTTAGTAATAAACAAGTAGAATGTCAAACAGAATTAACAAGAAAAATGCAAAAAGCCAACATCACGCGGTGTTCCCAGGCGGTCACCCATCCAAGTACTGACCGCGCCCGACGTTGCTTAACTTCGGTGATCGGACGAGAACCGGTGTTTTCAACGTGGTATGGACGTTGGCGAAAGAACGGGCGAAATATGGGTACAAATACCCGCCTAACCTAATGATTTCAAATACTCACATCATTTCGTCCTCCACCAGCTTTGCCCATAGCAGCAATGAATCCTATGTCTTTCAGATTTTTCCAGTTGAGATCTTTGCCTCTGTCGTAGAATCCTTTCCTTTCAAACAGTAGTTTTAGCAACGCTATTGGCTGTTGAGTTCCGTATGTATCTACCTAAAATTAGAATGATAATCTTCAAAATTTTAAAATACCTTAGTCTTTTTTTCTGTAAAATAGTAAATATTCTGTAAGTAGTATGTTCTTTCTTTTATCATTACTCAATGACGTATTTTTCCTTCTTTTCTGTAGGTACTCAGGAAATATTTGTTATAATTTTAATTTGAAATAATTATATCATGATTTATATTAATTTATTTATAATACTTACAATGGGCATATTCATATCGTCTATGAATACCAGCATCTTCTTCCCAACAGGAGGACCAAAAGTGTCTTTGGTTCGCTTTTCTACAACCGACTCCAAGTTTCTTTGCACGTCCATCGACGACGTGCGCGATGAGAAATTCATTTGCTGAATTATCTGTACGAAGAAAACATTGCTAGTTAATGGTTTAATAAGAATTAAAACTTTATTGAAGCAATTCAAATAGCATTATTGCTAAAGTAGGCTGCATGGTTGGTCTTAGAGGAATAATGTCCTATGTAGTTCATATTATGGAGGTAAATAATAATGATATTATTACCACAATGGTTGGCCTACCAAGAAATATGATAATCAATAATATTCAGTCATCATAATATTAATTTTGTTTTTCAATTATTTTATTGAACTTAAAAATGGCAAATAAAATGAAGAGAAATGTCAGCTAAAACATATAAATAAAAACAAAAAGATTGGAGGCGCCGGGTATCGATCCCGGTACCTCTCGCATGCTAAGCGAGCGCTCTACCATCTGAGCTACGCCCCCTGATGAATGACCGACCGAAATTATCGACGAGTTTATCAACTGGTTGTTATTATTGCTTTTAAGACCGGTATGTTTCTCAATATCCGGCAGCTGCGAGATAAATATTAGACTGATGACGTAATATGCAAGGCCAGCTATTATCATCAAGAACGATTTATCACATGTCGTAATGATTGTGTCGTGTTTGTGTTGAATCTTAATACGTATAAATTAACATAATTTGGATAGATTTATCGAATCCATAAAAGTAAACTAAATTACTTATATGCGTTTGAAGACTTTGAAGTATTAAAAAACTAAGTTATTATGTGAGCAGAGTCGCGGACTCGCGGGTAAAAAGACATGTCAAAAATAAATGTGAATAATATTGATAAATTAATGCAAAGATGACATTTTGACGACTTATATTTTTATTAAAAAGAGCAAAAAAGCCAACATCACGCGGTGTTCCCAGGCGGTCACCCATCCAAGTACTGACCGCGCCCGACGTTGCTTAACTTCGGTGATCGGACGAGAACCGGTGTTTTCAACGTGGTATGGACGTTGGCGATGAAAACTTCGAAATAAGTGTTGATAAATAGTTATTGAAAACTTACGTATTTATCAGCTGGTAATCCATGCAGATAGTTTGTGATGATTGCAGTTTTTGAAGTGCCAGTGTCACCTACTAATAGTACTGGACGTTCCACCTATAGAAATTGTATGACATGAGCAACATTTTATTCAGTTTTGTGATAAAATAAAAATATTTTACAAAATTTGCCCTTCAAAGAGAGAGAGAGAGAAAGAAGATTTTTATACGGTCCAACCTAGATCTAAAATAACTCAAAGGTGACTGACTGACTGACTGTCTGACATTAGTGATCTATCAATATAATATCAACGCACAGCCCAAACCACTGGACGGATCGGGCTGAAAAGACAATGCCGGAAATTGGCGTCTTTTTTTTTTCGCGCGGCCATCGACCAAACTTTGTTTTTTGATTACAAAATAGTGTAATAAATCAAACTTACTATGACATGTATACCTCTAAACTCAGTCTGAACTGAGTTACGAGCATTAGAAGTTTGATGATTTTCATACTAGATTTGCTTTTTGCGCGCAAAGTTTTGTAAGAAATTGCAACAAACTAGTGAGATTGTATGTGTAAACAAACAATACCATCCATTAAATGCTCCAGACATCAGTATGGAGCAGAATCAGCGCAATAAAAAAATATCGCAATATTTTGTTGCAATTTCTTACCAAACTTGCGCACAAAAAGCAAATCTAGTATGAAAATCATCAAACTTCTAATGCTCGTAACTCAGTTCAGACTGAGTTTAGAGGTATACATGCCATAGTAAGTTTGGTTTATTACACTATTTTGTAATCAAAAAACAAAGTTTGATCGATGGCCGCGCGAAAAAAAAAAGACGCCACTTTCCATACAAAATCTGGCATTGCCATTTGGCATGCAGATTGCAGGTAGATGTTATGACGTAGGCATTCGCTAAGAAAGGATTTTACGAAACTCCACCCCTAAGGGAGTAAAACGGGATCCACGCGTACGAAGTCGCGGGCGGCCGCTAGTTACAGAATAAATGTTTTTATTAAATAAAATTATAAGAAAATTGGTTATAAAAAAATAAATTACATAAGTGAAACGTAGATAAGACTAGTTAGATATTTGAAAACTTACACTCTCCATGATCTTGATAAGCCAAGTGAGCCGGAGCGTGTCCACCGTTGGGACTAGAATCGACGGGAACTTCATGTCCCTGTCATGCTCGTACGTCGGCACCAGCCACTCCCACGCTTCCCATGTCAGTGTGGTTAGCTCCAGGCAATAGTCGTATAGACTCGGGAATCCCATGGGGAAGTGTTCTAAAATGGGTTTAGAAAACCTTCATTTAGACTCTTTTCTGTATACAGTACCAGCAGTTAGTTAAGCTCATAGCAGACTTATCAACTCGGAACGGGATCAACACCGTATCGCCTTTTGCGAGCTGTCATCGCCTATCCCGCGCTGTCAACCGCGAGGCGAGACGTTCACGTTACGGTGCGGATAAGTGTGCGTTGCAGTATGGAGTTTTATACAAAGAAAGTGCTACGTCCTTTAAACGGCTGCTAGATGAGCAATTTTCCAAATCTATAAAATTAACACTCTCTGTTTCCTTAAAAACTTTGTCGTCAGATATCATCGTCATAACAGGCAAACATAAAATAATAATCTCTTACAAATAATCGGGTTACAATAAGGTGTTAAGAAGATGAAGGTTAATTTATTAGACAGCAGTCTATGCTACTTTTGAAATAAATTGAAACTAATATAATAAAAAATATTACTTGTAGTAGCTTTCTTCTCGATTGTGTCTTCCACGAGCATCATCGGACACGCCTTTTTGATGTAGTTGTCAAAGTCGAAGCGGCCATCGTCCACTATCGATGCCCCCAAGCTGTTGTACATAGACTGCCAAAGGAAAGAATATTAGGTTTTGGTGGTTAGAATTGAAAATCCTTTGTTTATTACAAAAGAAATCGTGTAGTAACCAGATATTTAAAAAATAAGTGAGTACTAGTGCCGTCTACATAGTTTCAGTGATTTGACCCTCAAATACCTGTGTACTTTCTCAAGTATTTTTTTACAAAACCTGTCGCAAAATCCATATCCTTAGCTGACGATTTGCTACTACAATTGTTTACTTCAAAATTTTACGGATTTGAGGTTGAAAAATTTAAGGCTAGGACCTTTTTTGTATATTATCTGTTTATGTTTTAATTCACTATTAAACAAAAACAATACTAACGAAGCATTGATAAATAATTGGAGGCGCCGGGTATCGATCCCGGTACCTCTCGCATGCTAAGCGAGCGCTCTACCATCTGAGCTACGCCCCCGATATGAACGTAGTGGGAAATTACTACTTATTATCGAAAGTGAAAGTAACGATAATTTCGTACTATGTCACTCGTTGGCAAAACGGCATTTAATGATTGAAATATTCCTTAGTAGGGAGACAATAGCTGAACGGTTAAGGCCTATTGTATTTTTTAAGGTCACGCTAAAAATAACTTACCACCATGAAGACACACTCCACCACGGTCCTGTCAATTTCCTCGTTGCTATCTTCTTTATTAGGCATCAGTCCACTGATCATGTAGCACAGCTGTACCACCTGTGAATCAAATCCTCATTATAGACCCATGAAAGCGATACTCATTATTAACCAAGCAAAGTACACAACCAAATCAGCTAGCTAGGATCCATCGTCTCAAGATATGTGTCGCTAGAGATTCCCAAAGCATTAGGCGACACATAATAAATAATAAATATCCTTGGACATTTCACATTACGCTCCTAGTCCCAAACTAAGCAAAGTTTGTACTATGGGTACTAGACAACGGATATAAACATACTTAAATACTTTTTTTTTTGTAAATACATACATATTATACATAGTAACACCCAGACCCGCCACAGAAATTTAAAATTCATCATTTCAATTTCTGCCCGGCCGGGAATCAAACCCGGGACCTCTCGGCATAGTAGTCCGTTCCGCACCACTACACCAAACGGCCGACGACATGTAGCCGAGTTGAGTCTTTATCGAAACACTCATAGTATGTAAATAATTCTGTCGGCGAAACATTAAAGGTTCTGAGGGCGAGTCTTTCAGAAACGAATGAAACGCTATTGGTGATCAGTCCAAAAGGGAAATGACTGTCGAATCATATTTGATTACCAAGTTGAGCGGCGTCTGCGGCACTATAGTTTTCAATGGCGTCTGCTGCTGTAGGCCGAACATGCCGAACACGATGTAGTTGATGGCACCAGCTACGTAGTGTTCGAAGAGACCAGCTAGTTGCTCACGCTCTTCTTCATTGTTGCGACTGCGGAGCCATCTAGCGGAGAAAATAGACAAGTTTTAGGGAGATGTATGCTGAGAAGAAGGATAGCAGAAGAAATACGTCAAGCAAGTAACTAGGGGCTGTGCTGTTGGCACACGGCACTTAATTATTGTCAAGTAGTTAGTAACACAAATAAAAAACGGGTTCACAAAAAATATGTTACATTCCTTGGTGAAATATGCCTTATATCCAGGGTATAAGGACCGTATAATTAAATTAATATTTTTTTCATGGCCGATAATAATCGAGATAAGTCTACTGATAAGTGGCTTTTTATAAAGCAGGCTATAATTTCAAAATGCTTTTGTCCGTTCGATCTATTCCAGCAAAAGCTGTACCATCCACATTCTACACCCTCATGATTATTTATAAGTGATTTGGCTAGGCCCAAAATATTTTTAAAATACATAAACATTACCTATCCCAATAAGGCTGGTATCCCAAATTCTTAGGGTCAACGAACACCATTCCAGCTCTCGACACAGTCGCAGGCGACGCATAGTTCAGGTCACCGACTTCGAACAGCAGCGAGCAATACGGCGCGAGCCGAATTCGTTCACCGTTCGCGAGCGTCAGCAGACGGTTGTCGTCCATGACTGAGTTCATGTTCTCTATCCAGAGGGCGTCTACGTCGCCGTCGAATAGCGAATATCGACGCTCGTCTCTTTCTGCTGGCCTGAGAATTTACGAATAACAACAGATTATTGAGCAAGTTTTTCATCAAAAACTGATTTTAGTACAGTAATCTAACTTAGGGGAGTACTTATGGGAAAAAATATTTCTATCTCAAACTTACCTGTTCATTTCACGGAATATCTTAGAGTAGAGCCCATCAGTCCAGTCTCTGGTAACTGGATCTAGGATACCATAAAGTTCAATCACAGAACACGCCTGAAACAAAAAACATAACCGTGCGTGTCCAATATAAACAATAACGCTTTGTGAAAGGCTAATAAATTAATGTCATTTTATGAACGTGTCAAAATACTCTAAATTAATAGAGGTCGAACAAATTTCTTTCCAGTTTCTCCAAAATTGTTAATCAATGGTCAAGATAACTCTGAACTCTAAGTTGATATTGATAGGGTATAGTATTGCGTACCTTGGGGTTGAGAACTTGGAGCTTGGTAGAAAGACCCAGGTTGGTTTGCGCCTTGACTAAGGTCTGTAAGATGACGGACTTGCCGCCGCCTGTAGGGCCCACCAGCATAGAGCAGTGCCGCGTCATCATCGTCTCGTAGAGTTGCACTACTTTGTCTACCTGTAGACGGAGACACGGTGGGTGAATGCAGGCAATATTATGATGATCAAGCGGTGCCACTGTATGAAAAGGTGAGTGATTTTTTTTTTTTTTTTTTATGTGATAGGAGGCAAACGAGCAAACGGATCACCTGATGGTAAGTGTTTACCGTCGCCCATAGACACCCGCAGACCCAGGGGCGTTACAGGTGCGTTGCCGGCCTTTAAGGTAAAGATACGCTCTCCTCTTGAAAGCTTGCAGGTCGTATCCGTCCGGAAACACCGCAGACGACAGTCCATTCCACAGTTTGGTTGTACGGGGCAGAAAGTTTAAGTCAAAGTCAAAGTCAAAATTTCTTTATTTGTTTGGACTAATAAATAGTTCTTACAAATCGTCATTTTGCTCTTAAGGAGCCTCTACATGTCTCATAATCTTTTTACCCTACCAGCGCTTCGAGACCAACATTTGGCAAGTGCTGAGAAGAAGCGCCGCAACAAACTCAGTCACCACTGTCTGCCGGTTAATATAAATAAATAGAAATAGTAGTAGTAGGTACATTCGATTCAGGAGCAGTTCACTGAATTTACCATGCATTCTTGTATGGTGTATCTTATAAGAATGGGTATACAAGATTGCGTGGTATATTAAACAAGGTAGTGACGTGCTAATATCTAGACTTACATATTAAGATACTAGTAGAAATGACTCGCATACATAAATTTGAATAACTTGGATTGACCAGTCCCCGAAAGCAGCGCCTGTTCACAGACATGACGAGTGAACCAGCCATCGCTTCACTCGACCATATTAGAGGGAATGTAACGACCCGCCTCACTACGCCACCACCCCAGAGACATTTTAGTGAGAATGACAATTCCAAGTTAGGGGGGGGGGGGGGGGGGGGGGGGTTGGGCCTCCGGTACCCTCACTCACTCGGCGAAACACAACACAAGTGCTGCTTCACGCCGGTTTTCTGTGAGGCCGTGGTATAACTCCGGTCGAGCCGGCCCATTCGTGCCGAAGCATGGCTCTCCCACGGTAGTAAATAGTAGTCCAGCCGGGCTAGGATGCGCGCCCTGATAATATCTTATCGATGATTTTAGACGTCAAAATGTATCACATAAAATCGATACAATGGCGTGATAAACGCATGTCGCGGCGCGCATCCTAGGCCTACAGGTTACTGTAATCATTAGAGAGGCATCATTGTGTTTTGTCGGTCCACTTTCAAGATCAGGTTTCGAAACATCCGGTTGCAGCGAGGGGTAAGACAGGGAGACGTCATATCTCCGAAAGTGTTCAACGTCACACTGGAAGATTTATTCATAGGGTATATGTATCCTGTAAGGATCATTTGGTTGAGTTGAACGAACCTGATGTTAGAATACAATGTATCCGTCAGTCTTTATAACATCAATAACGGCTGTGTTGAACTTCGTATAGCAGCCCCGGGAATAGGCCTTTGATCAGTCCCAGGAAGAGAGGCACGTCTTCGAACACATAGCTAAGGACCCATTATAATGTTGCTTTACCTGATGCGCCAGTACAATGTATCCGTCAGTCTCCAGCACGTCAATGACGGCCGCGTTGAACTCCGTATAGCAGCCCCGGGAATAGGCCTTTGATCAGTCCCAAGAAGAGAGGCACGACACACTTAGTTAAAGACCTATTAATAATGGTTCTTTACCTGATGCACAAGTACAATGTATCCGTCAGTCTCCAGCACACCAATGACAGCCGCGTTAAACTCCGTAAAGCAGCCCCGGGAATAGGCCTTTGATCAGTCCCAGGAAGAGAGACACGACACACTTAGTTAAAGACCTATTAATAATGTTTCTCTACCTGATGCGCCAGTCCAATGTATCCATCAGTCTCCAGCACATCAATGACGGCTGTGTTGAACTCCGTATAGCAGCCCCGGGAATAGGCCTTTGATCAGTCCCAGGAAGAGAGGCACGACACACTTAGATAAAGACCTATTAATAATGTTTCTTTACCTGATGCGCCAGTACAATGGATCCGTCAGTCTCCAGCACGTCAATGACGGCCGCGTTGAACTCCGTATAGCAGCCCCGGGAATAGGCCTTTGATTAGTCCCAGGAAGAGAGGCACGACGTCTCCGAACACTCAGTTAAAGACCTATTAATAATGGTTCTCTACCTGATGCGCCAGTACAATGTATCCGTCAGTCTCCAGCACATCAATGACGGCCGCGTTGAACTCCGTATAGCAGCCCCGGGAACAGACCTTTGATCAGTCCCAGGAAGAGAGGCACGACATCTCCGAACACTTAGTTAAAGACCTTTTATAATGTTTCTTTACCTGATGCGCCAGTACAATGTATCCGTCAGTCTCTAGTACNTATAGCAGCCCCGGGAATAGGCCTTTGATTAGTCCCAGGAAGAGAGGCACGACGTCTCCGAACACTCAGTTAAAGACCTATTAATAATGGTTCTCTACCTGATGCGCCAGTACAATGTATCCGTCAGTCTCCAGCACATCAATGACGGCCGCGTTGAACTCCGTATAGCAGCCCCGGGAACAGACCTTTGATCAGTCCCAGGAAGAGAGGCACGACATCTCCGAACACTTAGTTAAAGACCTTTTATAATGTTTCTTTACCTGATGCGCCAGTACAATGTATCCGTCAGTCTCTAGTACATCAATGACGGCCGCGTTGAACTCCGGGTAGCCGACTCGCGGGCATTCCAATCCCGGGAACAGATCCTTGATCAGGCCCAGAAATAGAGGTACGTCTTCGAACACGAATTTCGGGTAGTTCATGTCTCTGGAAGGGGTAAAATTGGGTAATAAGCCCTAGAGACTCAAAAGTTTTAAATGAACTGTAAACTATGAAAAAATTAAGCTTTATTTTGCCATACAAATGGGAAAGCCGCGTTTTGCCAGCTCATACAAGGATGCCAATTGACAATGTGTGAATACAATTTTATACAGATATTTTCGAATTACTATGTGCAATGAATAGCTACCTGGAGCATCACCTAGCTCTTCCAAAATTGTATTCTCTCATTTCATGCCACTAAGTATTTATTGCTGACACATAATCCAGGTAATATAATGAAATCCGCACCTCAGAGCTCTCATCAGCACCATGATTTCGCTTAGTCCGGGGGAGTCTCTTCGGAGTTTCCCCGCCATGCGCAGCACCGCAGTCAAAGCCCGCAATCCCCAGTCGTAGTGGGACTGCTTTGATAGCTGTTCTCTAGCCACTTTGTATAAGACTGTCATCTTTTTAGCTAACACCTGTAAAAATACACAAAGTTGATACAAAAACTGCCAGAATAATCAAAATAGAGAAACACGGGTCTCAACGTGACATTTCTATATGACATGAGTACATTAGTACTCATAGCTTGACGTTTCTGCTGTATTGCTATTGCTACAGCAGTGGTCACAAGCAGACTTGTGACTTTGTGACCCGTTGTGCTCTATTTTAATTGTAACGGAGCACGAAACTTTAAAATCTTAGGTTGGGTTGCATCATCTTACTTTATACTCCAAAAGTGCCAAAAGTCTGTCAAACTCCATACAAAAACACCGGTTATGGTTATAGTTACGGTTTAATTAAGGTGGTGCAACACTGCCAGAAAACGTTTTACACTTCAAAACTTGACCAAAAAAAAACACTACACATAATAATATGAGAACGTCATTTTGCGTGTAAAACTATTGTAAACGACTTACTTTGGCAGTAAGGAACCCATCAGAGAACAGCGATATCATGCAGATCATCTCCAGGTCTGGTAAGATGCACACCACCGGTCTGAAGAGAGCCTTCACCGACTCAGGCAGTTCGGTGCGGCCCGCGTAGCCGGGGTTCATCGTGATGAAGATGCCTACTTTGTTGTCCATTGAGATCTCTTGACCTTCGAACTAAAGGGAAAGGAATAAGTGAACATCGCCAAGGTTTGGAAGTAACTAGTCCATTGAGATTTCTCGCCTTTTAAACTTAGGATGGAAAACAAAAAAAAAATGTAAACATCGACTTTGGCAGTAATAACCGAAATCACTGTTTTATTTTATTACAATGTCACTGATGTCACGAAAGTTGCTGAAGAATCCTAGTTTATTTTATGAGTTCAAGCTACAAGCACCTGCAAGTGGACAGAATATATGAAAAATATGAATCTCTAGTACCTCATGATTGCACGATTCGAAACACGCGAATAAAAATACGTCATCTGGAGCAGCTCTATAGCGCTTAACTGGCTGGATTTCTGGAATGCATTATAGTGAGGAAGGGCTGACATGTGACGTAACAAAAACATTATTTCGCATCGATGCACCTAATCTTACCGCAGATTATGTCATAATTAATTATACTCACAGTAAATCTCTTCAACTTCATAAGCAGTGCACTTCTTATGCACTGTAGCTGCGTAGATATGACAGACAGCACGGATATATCAATACGGTTGAATTCATCAAAACAGCCCCACGCGCCGCATTGACACAGTCCAGCCAAGATCTGGCCTACTGCTCGGAAGTCCATGCCTTCCCCGCAGTTTGTGACAACGCAAAGCAGACCTAATGCTTTGGCGAGGTCTTTCGTTGTTTCTGTCTTGCCGGTGCCAGCTGGGCCTGTAAGACACAAGAAAAAGAACTGTTTGACTAGAGGCGTCGATGTAACGTTACTGCAACATTAGATGGCCTGTCTACCATTTGATGGTTACGACGTTAATGCTATAGCGATTATTACAGCGGTCTACTTTTGAATTATTTATTTTAGTAGGATTTTTATCATTAAACGACCTATAGTTAAGGTCAAAGTTAGTATGTTTTAGTGAGTGTGACAAAGATTAAGGTTACCTGCAGGAGCTCCTCCCAACTGCATGGTGAGAGCTTGCGTGATAGTAAGGTAGATTCGATCTGTCAGCGGCGTGATCACTAGCCGGCCGTTCAGACCCATGTATTCGTAGCCGTATTCAAATACCCCTGGAAATCAGATAAAAGAATAAGGACTCATCAAATTTAGGGATAATGACACTACACTACAGTTAATTAATCTTTGATCAACACACAGCTCAACTCAGTTAACAGATTATAAATTATCACTACTAAGGGATTTAGCAACAAGACACTTTTATAAAGGCAACATAAAAGTTTAAAACGCTAAAAGATTGCGCCGAAAATTTATATTATTATGACAAATGTATCTGCTAAGAAAATATTTTCTAAAATTTACTTCCTAAGAGCATAAACGAGTTTCCAAAGCCGCCTCCGTCACGTTGTCTTGCACGAATCCCTCGATGATGTCTCGTGCGAGCACGTCGATTGTTAATATTAATTATATGGAACTTGAGGACTCACCAGTACACTGACTGATACATAGATTGTCGTCTTTCTTTAGCCAGTAGAATCGCAGCTGGCTCTCCCAGTCGAACTCGGCCGCTTCTGTCACGTTATCTCGCACGAATCCCTCGATGATATCTCGTGCGTGCACATCAATGGTTGTTATTTTAAGGAACTTATGGACTTACCAGTACACTGCCTGATCCATAGATTGTCGTCTTTCTTCAGCCAGTAGAAGCGCAGCTGGCTCTCCCAGTCGAACTCGGCCGCTTCTGTCACGTTATCTCGCACGACTCCCTCGATGATGTCTCGTGCGAGCATGTCGATTGTTGATATTATACGGAACTTGCGGACTCACCAGTACACTGTCTGATCCATAGATTGTCGTCTTTCTTCAGCCAGTAGAAGCGCAGCTGTCGAACTCGGCGGCTTCTGTCACGTTATCTAGCACGAATCCCTCGATGATGTCTCGTGCGTGCACATCAATGGTTGTTATTTTAAGGAACTTATGGACTTACCAGTACACTGCCTGATCCATAGATTGTCGTCTTTCTTCAGCCAGTAGAATCGCAGCTGGCTCTCCCAGTCGAACTCGGCGGCTTCTGTCACGTTATCTCGCACGAATCCCTCGATGATGTCTCGTGCGTGCACGTCGATTGTTGTTATAGTGCGGAATTTCAGCCGGTCGTTTGAGGATAGGTCTGAAAGTAGACACAATAACTTTGGATAGGAGATAGGATAAGACAACTGACATAAAATTAAATATATAGAGAACTAAAACATGAGCAGCAAGGTTCTGGAGTGGAGGCCGTGTACTAGAAAACGCAGCGTGAGACGTCCACCCATAAGGTGGACCGACGATATCGTAAAGGTAGCAGGAAGGCGCTGGACGCAGGCCGCTACCAACCGGGCAGCATGGAAAGCATTGGGGGAGGCCTATGTTCAGAAGTGGACGTCCTATGGCTGAGATGATGATGATGATGAAAACATGGCTTCGGTCCTGTGACCACGGCCGTTGCAATCTAGATGAAATGTCACACTAAGCCTGAGCGCAGACCCCCAACTTTTAGTTGGCCGATAGTTGGGCAAAATTCTAATTTGTATGAAGAATCCAAATCGGTGTAATGTGCGCACTTTGATACATCTCCATACACATCAACAGCCCGACCCAACTATCGGCCAACTAAAAATCGGTGATCTGCGCCTAGGTGCAAAGACATAAGGGTGATCGCTGAAATTCCAGCCATTATACAGATTTCAGTCTTTAGATAACAATAATCCCTTTAGAAATTAACTGTACCTAGTCGCACTTTGACTACAAGTCCGTCCAGTTGCTCGTTCTGTTGCTGCAAATGTTCCTTCATTGCCCTTTTATTGCCTTTTCTTATACGAATGAACGTTTCTTCCGTTTCGGCTGTCCACCACACGCCGTTAGCTGCTAGACAAACCATGCCTTGATACTCGAGGATCCATTCCGTTCTGAATAAAAAACCAATTTTCTTTCATTGCTTTTAACTCTTTCAATGATATAAGCAGTGCCGTATTATCCATAAGGCACTTTAGGCCAGTGCCTAGGGGCCCACTATGACCAGGGGCCCAGCACTCCCGATTAAAAAATGAAAAAATAAATAAATTTTAAAGATTTTTTCTATGCAACAAACAAAACTCAAACCACCTCAAAACTTCGCCTTATTTTGGTTTACACATTCAATCGTCATATTTCGATATTGTGGAACCTAATTCATTTTCGTAACGTTGGCATTACTGCTTTGGTTTACATTATAGGCAAAAGCCTCACTGCGGAGGCTAGGGAGAGAGGTGAAGGTGTGTTGGCTGTATCATTCGATATTGCCAACGCTTTCAATACCATCCCTCATTCTACCATATTCTAGGCACTTCAATATCACAGAGTGCCTCAGTACCTTCGAGCGCTGCTGGCCGATTACTTACGGGACCGCGAAGTCCTGTATGTTAACAGAGACGGCCAGCTCAAACGCCGCGGTGTCGGTGCTCGGTCCACTCTTGTGGAACTTGTGGATGCTCCAACTGGCTCCTCCAGGGCGTCCTTCTCGCGGGAATGAGTGTCATAATATGCTATGCGGATGACACTCTGGTCACTGTCCGGGGGAAGACGTTTGGGGCCGCGGCACGGCTGGCGTCGGCGGGCGGCATATTTAGTCGCTCGCAGAATACAACGCCTCGACCTGAAAGTCACGCTGGAGAAGACTGAGGCCCTCTTCTTTCCGGGGCCTCGCCAGCACGCCCCTCCCGACGCCCACATTGTGGTTGAGGACGTTAGGATTGACGTCAAAGGCCAGATGAAATATCTGGGCCTCACGCTTGACGGAAGGTGGCATTTTAGCTCGCACTTCAACGGGCTTGCGCCACGCCTCCTCAAGGCAGCCGGCGCACTGAGTTGGCTCCTCCCGAATTCGGGAGTGCCACAAACGAGGTGTCGTCGACTTTATGCCGGCGTTCTGAGGAGCATGACGCTGTATGGCGCCCCAATCTAGGCGGACGCACTAAACAAGACCGAGAATGCTACCCTTCTGCGCAGGCTCCAGAGGGCGGGCCATAGCCCAGAAAGTCGCAAGGACCTACCGCACGGTAGGGCACGCTACGGCGTGCGTCCTCGTTGGTATTCCTCCTTTGGAGCTAGAAGCTGGGGTCTTGTCTGTCATCTATCACTGGATGGCAGACCAGAAGGCGCGTGGAAAGCGCCCGGCCCCGGGGAAGGAGGAAGGAAGACATGACTCGCGCGCAGTTTGGCCGCCACACTCTGGACGCCATTGGTCCTGTTCTGGACCCGCACGGGTTCCTCACGTTCCGTCTGGCGCAGGTTCTAACCGGGCATGGCTGCTTCGGTTCGTACCTGCATAGGATCGAGCGAGAGGAATCCCCTCTGTGCCACAAATGCGGCGCAGCGGATGACACGGTGCAACACATCCTCGCGGTCTATATAGGCTGGGAGGAGCAGCGCCGTGTCCTCACTGCGGTCGTGGGCCGGGATCTTTCGCTTCCGAGCCTGGTCAACGCCATGCTGAGAAGTGAAGGATGCTGGAAGGCGGTCGCCTCCTTTTGCGAAGAGGTCTTCCTTCAGAAGGAAGCAGCGGAGCGCGAGCGGGAGAGCGATCCTCTCGCGTCATCGCTCCGCAGGCGGAAAAGGGGGTAGAGAAGGCGGTTGTACTACCGTTCTACTCTGCCCCCAGGTGGCGGCCAGCAGGCCGGGGGTGCGGGGGCACCCTTGCTTGTTACCTCCGTCTGACGGGAACGGCTTGGCGTTTCGGGCCATTCCCGTCGAACCCCCACAAGGGGGGCGTGTAGGGTCCGCCGTGTAGGTGAGCTGTCGCCGGAAGTGTCGCGGAAGTCTAAGGCTACGGCCGGATACTCGCGACCTCCCCACTTGGGCGATGACGGAACGCCGCGGAGGTTTTAGTAGGTATACCCCGTCCTTTTCAGGACGGAGCAGCGCCCTTTTTAGGGCGCCGGGAGTCCCACACTCTACCCTGTCCCCCGGGAGTGTTGATGGTGCGCAAAGCATTTCCTCCGCGACAACAAAAAGGGGGGCCCGAAACGAGCTGTGCCTAGGGGCCCCGAGATGGTTAATCCGGCCCTGGATATAAGGTTCTAATTATGATTAACAATTTATGGCAATATTATGCAGTAAAGGGTCAACACCAAACAAAGAATTTTGGCGTTCAGCGAGACATTATACCTTGGCACCTTCCAGTTTCTTCCATAGTAGAATATAGCCTTTTTGGTGATAAACTTATTAGTGTTACGCATTTCTACAAGTACCAAGTTCATCCAATCTTCGACTCTGCCTTCAGTGTATACCACTTTTCTGAAGTCCATTATCTAAACATAGACAAGGTATTATAAATTAGTACATACAGGGTGTGGTTTTGTAAAACAACGCCCATCTCAGGGGTGGTAGCATACACGACTCTCGATGCCAAAAAAAATATTTTAAATTTTAATGGAAAAGTCCATGAAATCAGAAAAATGGAATTACTATCGGTCAGTCCCCCCGCTCTCCCGGGGCGGCGGCCGCATGTGCTCGGTGGTAGCGGGGTACGCGGGGGTGGTGCGGGCGGTAACAAGTGCCGTCTCGAAAGTTGTAGGAGACGTTTGAAGAAGGTTTTTTACTATTAAAGTTATAGTTAAAATTTTATTTATATCTATCTGGTAATAACTTTCATGTGTACTACCACTCTTGAGATGGGCGTTGTTTTACAAAACCACACCCTGTATTTAAAGTGAAAAAGCATTATTACAAAAATATTTTTACCTCTCCTTCAGCAGAGATCATCTTGGCAGCTACTGGACGATTAGTATGATCTACGTATAAGTCTAGAGCTCTGATGTTGTCAAACATCTGAAAGGAAACTCACATTGAATGGAGATAAGTACACTATCAAAATTTTTCCCTCCTCGGTAACCAGCATCTAAGCTTGGTACACAATAAAAGTCAACCAGACTGAGATGGTTCAACTTTTTGGATGGAATTTAAAGTCAGAAGTGATCTGGGGCTGGGGGCGTAGTGTGAGTTTACGTCCAACGCATTCGATATCGCCTGCGTCAAAAAAATGTATGAATTTAGTTCTTGAAAGTTTCTGCTAGGGGCGCTGTACAATCCGTCATCCATTTAATGTCACTTTTTTACGCAGTCGATATCGAATGCGTTTGACGTTAACTCACGCTACGCCCCCGGATGATAAAGCTCCTTTTTAAGTATGATGCAGATGTAGAGGTTAAATAGTAACAGTACCTTGATCATATGCTCCTGGACGCAACTACACTCACTGCTGCCAAGAATTGAGAGCAACTCGTCTGTTGATATGAAGAAGAATCTTGGGAACACACGACGCTTCGAATCCAAGTAGTCGTTCAGGGACTTTTGACACCTATAAAGAATGAATAAAGAGGAAATCAAAATAGTTCAAGCTAGATTTCACATTTTTCGGGCGTATAAATAAAGTTAAAAATCTTACTTTTGTAGACCAAGCCCTAGGTTGACGAATTCTTCTAATCTACCGCTTATAGTGCAGCAGTCGACCACGTTTAGTCTTTTGGCTGTATCCAACATAATCTGCAATAAATTTCAAATTAAATATAAATCATTATTAATACTTAAGCTGAAGTGATTCACATCAATGTTTTAAGAACAATAAAATAATAGAAAACTTATAGCCACGACACGAACGGTGAAGGGGTCGGACTAGTGATCCGAGGAACGCGGGTTTGGATCCCGCCGCCGCTCGATTATTGTGGTGAACCCACTCGTAACACAAGTATATTTAGCTTACCACGAGGGGTTATTAGTAATTTGTATTTACAAATTGCTAATATTATAAAAAAATAACTATTTTGTATCAGAAATACCTTTCTAAAAGACTTGTCAATATCGTCAAACTTCTTGGCCTCCTCTGGCAGTTGGACTCTGATGTCTCCGCCCACGAAGATGCCTTCCAAGTAGAGCCACTTTCGCTGCGTGGCCATCCACTCCTCAATGACCTCGGATATCAATGCTAGGCGCCTTTCCCACGTGTGAACGACTGAGAGGAATGGGCCGATGAACCTGGAGAAATATAAGTCGCATTTTCAGAACACATTTTACATTTTTATATTCTTGTTGAAGTAAATTATGTTCTTTATTCGATGCTAAAACGTCTATTATAGGTTGATGGTTGACCTTATATGATCACTCTAGATCTTCGCTAGACCTTCACATGTATGGGCTTTCATCTACAAGTTCAATGTGAAATCACCCATAACATCAGGTTTCATCAGCAGGCCTAGGTGTGCGCATTTTGTCGATTTTAGATGATAATCCCATACATTTGTCGTCTGTCGTCAACCGATATAAATATCGTAACACGCGTCCTAACCTGGAGTATGTTGTGCTTTGGAACTAATGGAAAAAGGAATCGCTCCCCACATCTCTGACAAGGTTGCAGGCAGAAGCTAATCTACACTAATATTATAAAGAGGAAAACTTTGTTTGTTTGTTTGGTTGTAATGAATAGGCTCAAAAACTACTTGACCGTTTTTTTAAATTCTTTCACCATTCGAAAGCTACATTATCCACGAGTAACATAGGCTAAATTTTATTTTGGAAAGAAATAGGGTTCAGGGGTCCACGCGCGCGAAGCCGCGGGCGGAAAGCTAGTATTATAATAAAATATTACTGTGAAGCAGCCATGCTCTGCAGCGTCATGGCATCCTCGTCCAGTTTGACGACCACTTCGTCGCAAGGGTTGAGGGTGTAACCACGATCCTCCCCTCTGTTGAAGTGGCGCGCCACGGTGAAGGATATAGCTCCCCATGTCTCTTGCACGTCACGAACACCGCGCTCGATGGCTAATTCCTGGGAGTTTAGGAAATTTTAGTTAGTAAATGAATAATATTTAATATCATATGCATACATTATCATTCGCTTAGGACACAAGCTGCATTACATAGCTAATCTGTATTAAGGAACATAGAAAAATACGGGACGAAAGCGAAAAGTTGTCAACCGGCGACCAATTTTAATTGAAATAGGTACCTTTATGCTTGCATTATTAGAAATACCACCATACCATGCATAGTTCGTTCGTTTCAGCCGAATAACTTCCACCGCAGGACAAAGGATTCCCCCCAGGGTTCATAATAAGTAATTAATATTCAGGAAATACTTAGCGTAACATGCTCCTTACTTTTATAGCGTGATTAACAATTTCCTCAGCAACGTCTTGGTACTTATGCAGCTCCATAGCAAACATGTTCTCCAAAGTGAATCGTTCCGGTGACATATCAAAGTCCTGGCCTGCAAAGAAACAACGAGCAAAGCAATTAGTTTAGCTGGTAAAATTACTGAAAGTACTGGTAACATAAAGCAAACTTACCAGTTTTAGCCATTAGTTCTTTCCAATGTCTTTCTCTCATGGCTTCGTTCTTTAGCGACACCATAAGAGGCACTACTCCTTTGAACTGCTTCATCTTTAGGTCCAGCATAAGACCAGTGTTCGTAAGTCGGACGGCTTTTGGGAGTTTCCTAAGAATAAAGTTGGTTTACTAAAATAACTCTTATTTCAGGACAGATAAGGGCGATTTCATGTCCAACATAAAGTGAACTATATTATACCTGTATTCTTTGAAGAACTGTTCAATGCCGTCTACCAACGCTTGCGGGTTCAGATTAACCCACAACGTCTTGGCCCACACTTCCCTAGCATTCTTCTGTGCCTTGTAGATCTTGTAGACTTGGTCCATCGCCAGAAAGTCGGTTTTCGCGCGGTTGAAGTTGGAAAAGTCGGCTAGAGGGTTGTCGAACAATTGCTCAGCCGCTTGCAACATCTTTTTACGAGACTCTAGCTCGTCGAAGTATTTATTGTATTCCTGTTGGAAGAAGCAAAAAATACGGGTTAGTTGACATCGTTTCGACATAGGACATATGTATTCCTTGTTAGGTAATCTCGAGTCATGTGTAATTTGTATAATTTTTAATCGCTTCTGATTGGCATCTAATAAATCAACTGATGCTAATATTTAACAAAGGAAAAGTACACTCACGCACAAACACAAAACATAAGTAGTTTTTCCTAGCATTTAAATAAATAAATTAACAAATAAAGAGATTGATTTAACAATTTTTCTTTCCTAGATTTCAAAAAATTGCCATAAAAAACATACAGTCGTTCATCTCATTATCAAGACTTATTGCTTACCTCCATAAGCACCAGTCCTCTGTCCATATCGTCGCCCACAATACCCGGGCCCTCATTATCAAACTTCTCGACGAAATCATCAAGCTCCTTCAGGAAGTTCGATATCTCCACCACGTTGAGTTTGGAGAACTTCTCCTTGGTCTGTTCAAGAGTGTTGCCACGGAAGAGCGAGGTTTGGTATAGGCTTCCCCAGGATGATTCCAGGTTCTTTGCGAACTGAAGATCGTCATCTGATACCTGGAAAGAAATATTTTATTGTAAAATCCTAAATTGCTTCTTTAGATAAGGTAACGTGAAAATCGCTTCTTTCAGTCTTATTTTTTTACTTTTCTCGGTGAAGTTAAAAATTGAAATTTGAGAGGAGTTTTATTTTTTCTAGGGAGGCAGAGGATGGTTTGTTAACTGAGAAAATGTATTGAATGTGAACAATTAGAATGCCACGTTGCGTCAATACTATGCTAGAAAAATGCTATGTTAAAAAAAAGAGATGGAGAAATGACGAGTCACTTTCAGCGAAGGGTCAAATAAACCCCAAAGTAAGATCTTGTATGAATGAATGAGTATAAAATGTAGGTATTCTCACATCAATCCCATGCTGCCTGAGCATGTGGAAGATTTCCTGCATGCCGCGGTATTTGACCTCGGCGGTGATAGTGAGGGCTTGCACTTGACCTATGGTCGCCATCACCAGCTTGAAGTCTTCCAGCCCTTTGATGTTCATGTTGACGTCATTCTAAGACTCGTTTGATACTCACATCAATGCCATGCTGTCTCAGCATGTGGAAGATCTCCTGCATGCCGCGGTATTTGACCTCGGCGGTGATGGTGAGCGCCTGCACTTGACCTATGGTCGCCATCACCAGCTTGAAGTCTTCCAGCCCTTTCATGTTCATGTTGACGTCATTCTAAGACTCGTTTGATACTCACATCAATACCATGCTGTCTCAGCATGTGGAAGATTTCCTGCATGCCGCGGTATTTGACCTCGGCGGTGATGGTGAGCGCTTGCACTTGACCTATGGTCGCCATCACCAGCTTGAAGTCTTCCAGCCCTTTGATGTTCATGTTCATCGTCATGCGAAGAGACTGCGAATAACAATAAAATGAATGATGACAATGAAAAAATGGAAAATACAAAATGTGCGTGAGCAGGCCGGATTCTAAAAAGATCCCTATTAATCGAGACAAATGAAAGAAAATAACAAATAAATAGCTGTTTGAGTTGCAAAATTAAATCACGCGGGTTTTTATTAATTCTGCAGAAGACACTGCCTATCACAGGTCTGTAACTCTTGAAAAGGACTCTGTAAAGGTGAAAAATGAGGCAGCAAATAAGTAAGCAATATGCTGACGAAGGCGTATCAAATTCAAAACAGGACAAAACATGATAAAAGTTTTGTAAAAACATATTTTACCTCTATTTGGTTCTTCAAATCGTACATATTCATTCTGGTCTTGGACGCGATGCAGTTGCCCAGAATGTTCTTCCACTCCTGCGCATGTCCCTGTACTTGGCTGATGATAGGCCGAAGATTCACTCTTATGGCCCCAACGTCCACGTATTTAACGTGGGCATCCAAGTCTGATATTATATCTTCGAAGAAGAAGAACTTCTCATCGTACTTGAAGATTTGTTCGTGCTTCTGAATGTACTTTTCGCATGACAGATTTTTGTCGAACGCCCATAGGTGTTGGTATTTCTGCCACCTGTTAGAATAAGATATATTTTGATAAGATTTCATGCAGAAGAATAAAGTACGAACTTTATTTACTAAGATCTATCATTGTACTCTTTCAGAGAGAAAGAGAGAGAGAGAGAGCGGATAGGGCAGAAGCTAGTTCTTAATGTCAAATATTAGGCAGTCAAGAAATTAGCTGAAGAGTGTAAGAACAATACTGACTTCTGAATATAAGTATTGATGTCCATTGTCAGTCGATAGATGGTGTCTTGTATGAGCATGGTGACGTCATTGATGGCTACCACACGTAAGATGTCTTCGAAGTACGAAAACACATAGAACTCGTTGCCGGTCGCTTCGGCTATGCGCTGAGGCGGACACGGCAGGCAGGTTTTCTTCATCCATCGTGGGAAGGTTGTCAATCTGCAACAATTTATTAATTTAATATGTTTAGTTCACATTACTATCCTCCCCTGTGTAATAAACGACTAATCCTCAAATACCTGTTGAGGAAGCGCTTGATGTTGTATGTACCTGACGAGGTTGCAGACCTCGGGCGTCCACCTGTAACATCGGCGTCTTGTCACTCGGCATCTGTCCCCTGTCCCCTGCCCTGTGTACACGACCGCTGTACCTACCTGTTGAGGAAGTGCTTGATGTTGTACCCGACGATGTTGCAGACCTCGGGCGCGGCGTCCACCAGGAACATTCGCGTCTTGTCGCTCGGCATCTGTCCCCTGTCCCCTGCCCTATGTACACGACCGCTGTACCCACCTGTTGAGGAAGTGCTTGATGTTGTACCCGACGATGTTGCAGACCTCGGGCGAGGTAGGCCGCATGGTGATGTCGGGCGGCACCAGCGCGGCATCCACTTGGAACATCGGCGTCTTGTCGCTCGGCATCTGTCCCCTGTCCCCTGCCCTGTGTACACGACCGCTGTACCTACCTGTTGAGGAAGTGCTTGATGTTGTACCCGACGATGTTGCAGACCTCGGGCGAGGTGGGCCGCATGGTGATGTCGGGCGGCACCAGCGCGGCGTCCACTTGGAACATTGGCGTCTTGTCGCTCGGCATCTGTCCCCTGTCCCCTGCCCTGTGTACACGACCGCTGTACCTACCTGTTGAGGAAGTGCTTGATGTTGTACCCGACGATGTTGCAGACCTCGGGCGAGGTGGGCCGCATGGTGATGTCGGGCGGCACCAGCGCGGCATCCACTTGGAACATCGGTGTCTTGTCGCTTAACATTTGCTGGAACTGCTCCAAGTTTTCCAGGGTGAATCTGTTATGTAAATTGTCATTTAGACCACAGAATAATAATAAGCACTACGTACAGAAGTTTTACTTCGCGAAGGTATTTAAAAAAATGTATGCTCAATGTCATTGACAATATGGTGTAATTTAGCCTGTCTCAAGTGTCAAGCACCATTTTGTTGACAAACGTCAGTGATCGGCACTGCGCCGAAGCTATAGGGCTGACTTCGGTAAAATGATGTGACGTGAGGTGCCAAACTGCGGAAAATGGCGGAGGAAATACATGATTTAGCATGAATTATCATGAATAATAGCAGGTCTGTTCATCTCCGCGAGTTTACATCGAAAACAAAACACGCACGATGGCCCACCTACAGGATACTATTCGACAAGGCCTCATATACGAGCGAAAATTGACTCACGAACGCGTATTCTTGTGTATGATGGAAGGAAATAAAGAAAATGGTGTACTAAATACTGTGCAGTATTTAACTGCCTAAATAATAATAAAAAGACAGAATGTACTTTTTTAAGTTGCCTCAAGACACTGAGAA